AGAGTGCATTGGACTTTACATTGCCTTCTCACCTAGATATCAAAGTACTTTATAAGTGAAAGCCTTCCTGATGCTTCCTGAGGTGGATGTGGAGCATCTGATGCACAGAGAATGAATTAACTTGTCCACAGCTACACAGAGTCAGTCACAGACTGAATGCTCCCTCCTCTGCTCTATCAATAACCACTTCCTACCCTCTCCTCACCATTATTATTATTGTAGCGTTGTGAGGCAGAGCCAGATAGACAGCATAACCGGCAGTGTAAGTATAGAAGCTGACTAACTTGCTCGCAGTCAGCAAGATGTCTAAGGTAAAAATCTCAAGCAGAATCTGGAAGTCCTCCATTTCAGTAAAAAGTGTTGTGAAATATCCTTATTTCATATAGAGCTGGTAGAAACTTCTTCACAACAGATTGTTAGACTGTAAACTCTGGGAGATTTCTTTTATTTTAGCAGATGGGATCATTGATTTTGTGTATCACAGCTGCAACAATTTTAAAGATGTTTCCTCCGTCTTCAGGAGACACACACATTGTGAAAGGCAAGTTGATCTTTTTGTTGAGCAGTCGGTTCTGTTTACTTGTTGATTAGCAGCACAAGCGATAGTTACAGAATCACTCTGGAGACATAATAGTTAAATTTAACCTTCCCCTTCAAGCATTTAATTTTAAAAATGTTTTGGAACACTGCGGGTAAAACATGACTTACAAACTATAATAAAATAGTGGGAAACATATGATTTTTGTATACATGAGGACAGTTCTTTCTCTTGCTCACTCCAGTTTGATTTGCCTTTCTCATGCTGGTCCCTAGTTCCTTGCTGTTTCCCGGGGCTCATGCACTTTCCCTATTTCACGGCAGGCACTGGACGTGCTTCATCATCTGGTCAAAATGCAGGTGCCTATTATTCTGATGCAAGAGTCATTTCCAGTCCTGTAATGGTGTTATGACAGGCTCTTCAGCAATATGCTGAGAGGCAAATGTATGTCCTTTCATACTGATTGACAGCCATCTGGTGGTTTGTATGATGTCCCTTCCAGCCCTCTTTTTTGTGAGTTTTTCCTGTTTGTTCTTCATTAGAACATCTGGAAATAATCTATTTTCTTGTTTGGGGAAGCAGATGAACAGAAATTAGAGCGATTACAAATATAACCTGCTAATGTAGGTTGTTTGAAAGGTATTTCGAAAACGATATAGTGAAGTTCGTTTCAACCTTTCAAGTTCTGAATATGAGCTTTGACTTGTTCAGTCTCATCTGGGGACTTATTTGGAGTTCCACACCATTAGGATCTGTATTCACATCCTCTGATTCAAACCAAGCAGGTAGATTTTCTGGGAAGATAAAGAGTAGAACCTAATCTGAATGCCTGTTACAAACAGAACCATATCTAACACAACACACATCAGTCAGTGTGGATGATTGATGGGAAGAATGGACTGAAGGTTCAAAGGAGCTATAAAATGCATTTTATTATGAATCAGAGAGTCGGCAGGAAGTTTGCGTTCATGTTAAGGAACTAGATCTTCAGAAATTTCTGTAGTAATCACAGGAAAATTTTCTGATGCACAAGTGTGATTTTCTTTCTTAAGGTGCTATTTAATCTAGGTTAATGTTTTACATGTTCCTTTCACAAAACTGGTGTTTGGTTTTTAGATACTTTTGCAAAAGGTGTTTATGTAACTACAGTGTGTTTGTTGCCTCTCCCAATGAAAGGTAATTCAAGCTTCTCATGCTTTACTAACAAAACGGGTGACGAGAAAGCGAGGTCTAAAGAAATCAAATTGTACCTAGATTCGCACAATCTGGTAAGTTCCTAGTTATGGGTTTGTATATATTAGTTGCAATTTGTTCACTTCATGTAGACAGAAACACATATTGTGGTTTATTACCTTATACTTTTATCGGGAAGATTTTTATAGAGATGGAATAATGGATAAGCCTAGCATGTAAATGATGATAATTTGGATCTCCTTTATATGCTCATTCTTTATTAGGGTGATACTATTAAAGATTGATTTTGTCTATTGAGAGGAGTTACCTAAGAAAACAGTTTATGTTCCATGATTTACACAGTGTTTGAATGGAGGGATCCAATTCATTGAACTAAGCAGAATCACTGAGTTAAATGTCAGTCATTGCTAACAAATGACCTTAAATTTTGCATATAGTGATGCATTTCAAAAATGGTAGTTCTTTGAAAAATATATCTGGGAACCTGTGGAAACATGCACTTAGTGCTGATAGTCAAAAGTCTTTGGGCACATTTTGAATACGCTGTCAGTTTGTCACCAGAAAGATTGTAATCCCATTTCTTTTCTGTACCAGGAGCAAACTCAGAAGCTATCATGATCTTGCAGCCAGATTTTGATTCTGAAACTTATATCTCCACTTTGTAAATGCATATTTGGAACCTTCAGTTAATTGCAAACTATCACGTCAAATTTGATTGTTTTCCGCCACAACTGGATGATTCTAAATATTCTCCATGCATAAGTTTCTCTTAATGGATAAAATTCATTGCTTTGAGTCTAACAATATATGCAAGTTATGATGCATGCAAGGTTGTTTTCATTAAAATAAAAAAATGCCATAATGTTGTACAAATTCAGGGTTTGAACTGATTAATTGTAACGTTCTCTATCAGCTGACCTCATTCTGCTGTTAGTATTTGCATCCACTGCAAGTGGCAAGAACAATATTTATAAAACAAGAGGCTCTCTCTCTCCAAAGTTGGCAGGGATGCAATATGCATTATAATGATAATTCAGAACCCTCTATGACGCTGAACTTATTGCAAGATGTCTGCTTTCAAGGACAAATAGTGTGGGCAAACCAATTCAATGAATTTTTCATCTATAGAAGTGTGTTAAGCGTTTGACTAGTTTAGTAATTGCAATGGAAGGGATAGCAGAAGATTTCTCAAGTTAAAACATGTATTCTTCCTTCCTTCTCAAAGAAAATCAGCTGTTATTTATATAATATAGAGAAGGATAATAGTTTAGAAGTGAGAAAGAAGTTTCTACTGATGTATAACGCCGCGGGACTTGCTCCCACCATTGAGATCTTCAACAGCACCTATTCTCAGGTCTTCTACTTCAAAATGAAACTGGTAACATTTCATTTTTCCCAGTACATGTTTGATTAGCATGAGTTATGAAGTACTGTCAATGACAATACTAACTCGTTTCATTAATTCTCTGTGTTGTCGCAGAACCTGAGCCCTACAGTCATGATTAGGACTATGTATATACCCTACCTGTTCTTTATTCTTTTTCTTGTCTACTAGGCAGCTGGGTTAGCTTTGCACTTCTGCAGAATTAGAGACCAGTACAAGAGAAGCATGTTTAAATAAGGCTAAATCCACTTTGATTCATTCATTCTTGATACAGTATTATGACGTTCAGGGCTAAAATAGGGAACTTGATGCTTAATGAAAGGTAAGGTAAGGTAAGTGGTAGCAGGTGGTGGCTGTTACAACAGAGAGATGAGCTGCAGAATTTGAAGAAACAGGGAGTGGGCAGTTGGAAGCCGGAACTTCCAGGTGGAGGTGCTGAATCTCCTTTGCCTGGAAAAGGAGGAGTGCTATAAGCACTGAAGGTTTTGTGATCTTTTATATGAATCATTTTAGCTAAATAGAGAAATTAAAAACAGAAAAAACATGGAATTTAAGTTTAGGTTGTTCAAGTGGCTTTCCAGGCTTTCTTTAAGCTTCAAACAGATCTCAAAGCAGACAACTTCAGTCAAGAGTAAGATGTCTAAATTTCAATAAACTTCTTCCACTTCATCACAAAATTGCATGAGAATCTGAAATTTAGTCTTAGCTCCGATATATCTTCAAGACATGTCTGGTGCTGTAACTGAGGCCTGACTGCGTCTGGATGCTTTACTGCTTTATTGACACTGGTATCATTACAGTAGTACAAACACCTTCAGGTGATGAAGTTTATTCTCCAAAGGCACATTATACGGCTATAGCTGTTCTTGTACAGAGAGAAATTATTCTGACAGGGATCACCTTTTGAGTAGCGCAGTTGCATCCACATCGGTATTGTACTGGTCTAATTGTTTTTCCAACTGATTACAGTTACACTAGCTAAACCTAAAGGCTAGGCCAAAATTTCTATGTGTGTTCAAGGGCTGATGAAGGTAGTGTAGTGTCAGAACTATCAGCACAAACTCTTTAAAAAAGGAAAAAAGAAAAACTTTTGTCCAAGTGCTCAAGAGAATATGTCCAAAGGAAGGTATTTCTCCAGTCAGGTAAAGAAAGGCTTGATATGCAGTCTGGGTTTAATGGGACAGATACAAAAGCAAAAATGACTCCAGGAGTTCTGTGAATCAGCTGAGTCCCAGCACATCCTTACTGGCTTCAGCCAGAGGTAATTTGAAGGAATTTGCTCCATCCATCAGCTCTTACCCTCAGACTTGTACCCTACAATGGTGCAGTGAGTCATGGGCAATTAGGCACATAATCTGGGGAAGAGGATATTTTTAAATATAGCCTTTGCAAGAAAGTTTTATAAACCCTTCTAAATACTGGTTTTCATTTCTAAAGCAAACTGAAGACAATGCAAGTACTTGGGACATTGATATCCCCAGAGAAAACATTACATATAATACCGGTAAGAATTTTAAAATCATACTTCCTATCAGCACATTTTGCTTTGGATTGTTGAGCTTTTTCTGGATCTCTAACGTTATCCCGTAATTAATTAACTTTCCTTTGTGCTCTGCTGTGTAAAATACAGTTTCATTTTTGCTGCCACTCAGATATTGCAGATTTTTATCCCCTTACCATGATATCACGCCCATTCTATAGAGGATTGGTTTTGCTAAACTTCCTTAAAATATAGTATTATCAGTGTATTTCCTTTGATTATTCATTATTTTCCAAGACTTTGTTGGTAGGATTGCAGTTATTTATTGATGGATGAAGGCATTATTGCTTACTATAGCAGAAAGTCTTAAAGAAAGTATTTTTAATAACACCTCTCCCCACTTGAGAGTTCCTATCTACAATCACAGTGGTATGTTTGGTTTCAGACTCCTGGGCTTTGTTCAATAATACCCTGTTTCTTTCAGCATCACTGCTGTTCCTGTTTGTCTCGTATAATATACTTGTTTTTCATATTATTTTTTGTGCAGATGGACTTTAACTTTTCTAGATTCGTTCCTTGATATATATATTTTTTTTTTTTTTAAGTCCTTTAGATGACTTTTCAGTCTTCCTTTATGCCTGCAATCTCTCCTAATTTAGTGTCTGGTCACTTTAACACTTTGCTGAGTCCTGCTTCCCTACCATTATTGCGGATGTTAAAGAAATCTTCGTGGCACTGATCACTGATGTTGCATTAAACGTCCTCACAATCTAAGCAGTTGTCAACTTACTCCGGAGAAGTGGGTTTCTGTGCCTCCATTGCCAAGCTAATGCTAGTCCACTGCAATTAGGGTTAGGAGGAGTGGGACTACACATGCAGATAAGTTTCTAAAATCTTTGCAGCTATGCAGTTTTGCCGTTGTGAAAATGTGCAGCTGATTTGGAGATCTTGATACTAGTCTTCCAGAACTAATCCTCAGTAGTGTGACAGGAGTCAGATTCTGAGTAAAACTGGGCATTTGTATCTCAAAACCATTGATGTTGCAAACACTGTAGTTTGTCACCTCCCTTACTTGGTACTCTTTTACCTAGCTTTCACTTGATGCCGCCAAGACATTTCTAGTGGCTATTTAGAGTAAGGCAACACTATCTTTTATGTGTAAAATATCCAGGTATATGACTTCTTATATTCTTCATATTCAGCTAGCTTGTTATATGAACTGTTTAGCTATGCATTTTTTTCTAGCCAGGTACTGGTGTCCTTGCTCAGTAATCAGTGGTTACTAAAAAAAGGTTTGGTGAAGAAAAATCCCCTTCTGTGAGTATCATTCTTCTACAGTATTTTATAAAACTGAAAGATTTCATTAATATTCATTTCATGTTCAATTAGATGTTGCTCCAATAGAGGAATGGTTCGTAAAATTCAGAATGCATCATGGATTGAATATGTTTACCACTGAAGGAACATTACTGGATGTTCTCAGAGGTAAGAATTAGATAAGCCCCATTTCTATTATATATTGAAACAGAGATTGAATTCAGAGTACTATCCCAAACATCTTTCAACTGAAACCAGTCCCAGCCACAGGAGACTTGAAGGTGGGTTTCAGATCTTGCAGCTCTTGAGCTTGATTTTGCAGTCTTCATAATGTTCTTTTTAATACAGGGGTATTTAAAATGTAATTTAAGAAATAAAAAAAAGCTCTCTTAAATTTTACACAGATGCTTTTTTTCACAGCATATGTACTAATACTTTAGCACAAATGTGTTTAATAAATTTTAGTTCTTCATGTTACAAGCATAGTCTTATTTTTCTGTGATATTTTCTTTCTTAAGATGTGTCTGTTCATGAATGTATCTTTCCTTTTGTACTAGAAGTAAAGCTATCTAATCAATTTATTTTCTTACATGTTTACTATACTTAACCTCCTGTTTATTATATTTGTCCTCTTAGTCCCCAAATCTGTAATGCCTAAAGACTGTTTCATATGCATACAGTTTATTTATGCTTTATCTGTGTTAAGCAGCTAGACTTTTCTCTTCTACAGAACCAATTCTTCAGTGGGAACTTGGTGAAAAAATATCCCCTGAACGCCTTGATACTGTGATACCTCATGTAATAAATATCACATTGTCAGAATCTCCTTGTGCTAATGATGTGGTAGTTATTGCTCTCATCTGTAATGCTGAAGCTCAAGGTAAATATAGATCTCTGGGCTTTCACAAATGCACAGTAATTCTAATAGGTGGAAAGCAATGAACATGTGAAAGAACTGATACTTTCTGTATTAGTTGTAATTTCTCAAATTACCTTCTGCAATCAGCTGCATTCTTCTAAAATGAATTTAGCCAATGAAACGGTCTAGTATAACGCTTTAAATAAAATTCAGGTATAGCCAGAAATTAAATAGAATTATATTCTCTGTATTTTTAAGTTTTATATTTTATCAATATATTCTCACCCTGCCTATTGAGGTTTATTCCTTTGTTTAAAAAAAGGCAGAGCATTAAAAAAAAAAAAAAGATCTAAAAAGGTTAGATTAAATGATCTGAACCAGGAAAGGACATTCAGAAATCTAGGAATGTTTAATTTAGAAATAAATAAAGGAGGAAAAATTGGATATTTCTATAAAATAACAAATTGCACAGCAAAGGCCTTTTGAGCATATGCTTCCAGAATGAGAGCTCTCAGTGAGGAGCTTTTTCTTTTGTTTTAAGGCAGGTTATAAATACTTATACATCAGTATCTCAGTATATTTTGGGACAATGAGTAATATGGTTTTCAAAAGGCCTGCGTGGCTTTTAATACAAACAACAGACCTGATCTCTGTTGTTGTTCTTATATCCTCGGGTGGGAATCATCTCTCTGGATTTGGTTATGCACAATGAGGGCATTATTTCCGGCTTTGTTGCCTAAACTCCTTTTATAGTCAAGGGAGCGAAATAAGCATTTTTAGGGTGCAAAGTTCATCTCACCTAACTGTAGATGGATGGCAGGTAATTCACATGCTGACACTGCTTCTCTATAAAGGAAATCTAGACAATTTGTTCCAGTGAAAATACTTACATGGTAGATATTTAGGGTTAGACGAGATAAATTCCACCCCGGATGACATGTCCGGATGAAATGTTAACTTTTCTCTCTGACACTCCTCCCAAGCCTAAAATGATTTAAGAAAAATTCTCCTAACCTCCCTGTGTACTTCTCCGCAGATCTCCTTGCAACTTCCTTTCTCATTTAGATAACACCTACCACTGTCCCGTACGTCATATTTTACTTTATGTCCTGCAGGCTGTGTCTAAACCCTGCAATTTTTTTCTGCTGATATCACAAGATTCAGCTTTTCCTACACCTTCATAGAGTCAAAAGTCTCATCACTTACCCTCTCTTGGTTATTACATCTTCTGTATTACGCAAGACCGGAGGAATCTTGCTTGCATCTTCACATACTTTCAGAGGGCTGCTGCAAAGTTTTTTATGTTTCCTTGCATCTCTCTGCTGATCCCTTTACTGCTACTCCAAACATAAGCTGTTTTTCTTTAGTATAAAAGCTCTCACAGTAGCCTCTTCTTACTCCACCTTTTCTCGTTAAGTGTTTGTGATATACCTGTGATGCCCATGTCTCCCATAGGGTTGTTGAATTTTCTGCTGCATGCTTTCTTGTTATTTCTCCAATGGTGCCCCTCACTCTTGGAAGAGTTTGCAGACACTTTCAGAGCTGTCTTATTATTGTTCTTCAAATCTGTCCTCAAAGTAGTCTGCTGCGCCAACAGCTCTAAAATTCAGAGTGCATTTAGACTGCTGCTATGAGAAACCATTGCCTCTCATGCTGAACAATATCTCATTCAACGTGTCTTTTGCTTAGATTGTAAAGCAGGGACCATTTTTGTTCTGTGTTTATACAGCACAAATCAGAAGTGGACATCCCAGTCCTTTATTAGGATTCCTAAACACTGTGGTAGTACAAATAATCCGTTACACCAATACTGAAATTATGAGAGTTACTTATAATACTTAGCATTTTTCATAGCACTTTCCAAAAGTGCATAAGTGCTATTTTCCTCGTTTTCCAGATAGGCACCTGAGGCACTGACCAGTGATATACCTGGCTCTAGTTATTCAGTAGGCTGATGGATTTTATTCCGGTATCTAACAAGTGGTCCCTGCCTCAGACTTTGTGTAGATCGTTATCCAGGTCCAGGAAAAAGTCACACTGTACAACAATTATTATGCAATAGATTGTATTGTAAAGGCTTTAAAACGTCCTATGAAAGTGGATGTGATGAGCTATGACTGGAGATAAAGGTTATGCCTATGTCTACAGTTGACAAGTAGAATGGTTGAATGGACCATAAGTTATAATGTTGGAAGAGCCCAGGGTGATCTTTTAGTCTTACCTGTACTATACACACAGGGTATGGAGTTTTCCAGGATTACTTCTATAGAAAAGTAATAGTCACATTATCTCTGTGTCTCTCCTTATTAGCTTTTCCAGGCATTGGTGAGTTCAGCCATGCCATGCAGACCAGTGGAGCCTAAAAGATATTATATTTCTACAAGTTTTAGAAAATAAATGATTGGGCAAAAAAAAAAAAAAAGAGCCTATTTATGTGCCAGTGAGGAAAAAGTAACAACCTGTGCTCATCCTTTAATAGACACCGCACAGAAGACCTGCATCATAAGTGTTCTATCTCATGAACTACATGGCTGCTGTAACACAGTGTGTTTTTTAGAGGCAAATCTTTTATATGTCTTAGTAATGTGAACAATTTCAATATTTAGCAAACCAGTCTTACGTACCCTTCTATGTTCTGCTGAAACAGACTTTGTAACAATATATAGGCTCTAAGGTCTGCAAGGCCTATAAAAGTGACTGCTCCCATCTATTGGCAAATGAAAGAACAGCAGAAAAATAAAAGTAAATGTAATATCTGCTTTTTTACAGCAGTAATTGTAGACATGTAAGAAGGTATGTTCCCAGATCCAGAGGGTTCAAAATAAGACCAAAATAGGCCAGCAAGGGGAAAGGTAAAATGAAGATAAAACCACTAAATCAGTTTAAAATGTATTTAACATGCTATCTAACATTCTAACAGTACAATTTTAAATAAATATTGACCTAGATTTTCATCCAGTTTTTATTCAGATTTTCTTTGAACAGAGCTTTGACCACATACTAATTTTAGGATGTGGCTGGTTCTGTTCAAGTGGTAGCACATGCTGTGTGAAGAGCTTAGTAGGAACTAGAGCTGACAGAAGTATGCCTGAATCAAAATGTGCTCAGAAGAGAAATGCAGAACAGGGTAGGTATATGTCACAGTATAATCAGGTATGGAAACTATTCAGTCCTCACAGTGATAGGAAATGAGAGGCTCCATGAGATGGCAAAGTCAAATCTTCTTCCAAATTAATTTTTTAGTCTTCCTTTTAGTAGTTTCCATGTTGCTCTGCCTTTTGGCTACAACAAGTGGAAATCACATGACAGATACCATTTAATATTACTAGTCCAGACCCAAATGATTTATCAGAACTGCTGTATGTTCTGTTAAAATTTACACTATATTTTTCAGAATTATTTTGCAGTTTCTTACACACTAATTGCAATGAGACATTATATTATAAAATATCGGGGTAGGCACCCAGGCAAAAGCAGTTGAAGGAATTCTTGTTGTAAATTCCCTGAGAACTGTTTGACTTTTCATCATAAAATTTGACACATTCACATGGAAAAATAGCATCTCATAGATATGAAAGGCAAAACTGGCTTATGAGGGACCACCATTTGATCATTAAACTCAAGAAACTTAGGGCCAACTAAACGTGTCTCTCTACTTACACCTCCAAACTTTGTTTTTCAGATATCTATAGATAGCTAGAGCTCCTTCGTTTGTCCCTCCCTCTTCTTTTTCTGTGCTGAAATTTTCTTTACAACTTCTTTGCTTTAAAGTTCCATTCCCAGTCTTACTGAAAAAGAAAAATTGTTGAGTAAAATCCTTTAAAACAAGCTCCCGGCGCAAGACGCTCACAGCTCTTTAAACTGAATATTGCTCAGGATGTTACTGTGAATTGTATTTGAAGCAAGAACCATCTTTCTTTTTTTCTTGTGCAGTGTTAAGCATGGACAGTTTGCACTAGAAAATAATCAGAAGTTCCTAAAGAAGAAGGATAGGAAGGACTTCCTCAGTGAAATTCCTAAAGAAGGACTCAGGCTTGACATCAGCTGTTATTCCGGTTGCAAAATAATTCTGGAGCCTACTGATAGTTTTGTGTCAGAACAATTCATGTTGATATATTTGGGTAACAAAAATCAACCTGCAGATTTGTTTGCAGATGTTAAACAAGATATGACAACAGCTGAGACACAGGAGTTTCAAATGAGCTTCATTTTTATTCCAGTTGTCCCAACCAGCTTTCGTTTGGGTCTCACACAGACAACAATTCCATGAAAGTTATTGTACTGAAGGAAGCAATAGAAGCCGTAGAATTTCCAGACCTCGCTTCTAATTTATTCTTTTTATGTTAACAGTATCTTTACCTGAATAGAGAGTGCTATAAAATATATTTCCTAGACAGATCTAACATTAGAGGACAGATTTTTAAACAAATCTTCCTTTCATAAATGAAATGTTGATTTTTCACTTTTCAGGTGTATATGTTGGCATTACCTATTCTGGATTTGCATATGACAAGACAAAGTGGTTCAATATGACAAACAGCTTGTGTCCCGAACAGGAGGATGGTAAATTTGTCTTCTCCATGGTTTAGCAATGCAAATCACATGGGGAGAAAGATGGCATTTGTTATACTAAACTTATAGTATTGGGCATGGAAATAAATGTGTGTGTGTGTGTGTGTGTGTGTGTGTGTGTGTGTGTATTCCTATATAAATATATATATAAATTATATATAGGAATGCATAGACCTTCTCCATATGTGAAACAAAAGTAACACAACTTTAAGCCAAGTATAACCTGACAATAGCTGTTCTAACTCTATCCAATTTTGTTTAATGATTATAAGAGTTCAAAAAAGAAAAAAAAAGTGGGGGGAGTAGTTTGTACCTGTGAAAGCAAAAGGTCAGTGAAAGTGAGCCATGGGGAAAACTGTCATGCATTATCAAAACGATAGCCATAATTTGTAATATCAAGTAGAATTATGAATATTAGTTCCCAGGTGCTTCTTCTGAATGTATTTTGTATATCTCCTTTGAGAATCAAGACTAAACATCAACAGTTAAGGGATTGTACCCAAAGTTAACTGAATATGCCTATTTTTATTGTCTATCTTAGTTTATTTGGTCAGTAGTGGTTGTGTGATTTCATCCACATTGTTTGCATGATAGCATCTGGGTCATGAAGAGTATTGTATTCTATATATATACCCAGAATTTGATGATTCAGCTGATGGTTTTGATGATTCAGTTGTACTTGTGCAGAAATTTCACCTTTATTTCTCAGTATAGTCCTGTTTTGTTTTGGGAGTGTCGATCTAAAAGAAGTTTGCTTCTGATATCGAGGGTAGGATGTTATTTAAAGACTGTGTGAATGTAAAGATTGCGTAAGAAGGGGAATTCTTTGACATAGGCTGGGGGGAGCAGTTTAGTCTGGATGCTGAAAAACTGCAGTAAGCTGTATTTTAGACATGGATCTTACCATTTTGTGTCAAGCATTTGCCGTTCTTCTAGGGCAGTTGGCCACAAGGACAGTATGATCCTAAATCTGCCTAGCTGACCCCATGTAGGTGTCCCTGCATGCCAGGCTGCATATAGTGTGCAAATACTGTGCAGTTTTGAATGTGGGTTACTCTGCAGGTTGGCTGTGTGCATGAACCTTGCCTCTAGTTTTGGGGGGAACTCTTGGGGGGGTTAGGGAGATACTCTTGGATAGACTTTAGCAATGTCAAATTGTACATGAATGGTGCAAAGCAACAATTCTTCACAATGTTCATTTTTTTCCCTCCTAAGTCTGTGATGGCCTGTCACTTGTGAATATAATCTTAACAAATCACCATTTAATAGTCCTCACAACAATGGGCTTATTCATCAGTGAAGATCTATGCCGTCCTACTGGAAAAATCCTAAAAGTATGTGAGTTTGTTTAAACATGAATTAGCTTTTTAAGCCAGTTTTGTGAAATTTCAGCCAAATGGCAAGTGAAAAATTGTAACTATTTGCTAGAGAGGTACTCTGAAAATATGACACTGTACGTGTTCAATTTTCTGTTCTGTTTTCCTTCTGTGAAAGATTATATTTTGAAGCTCTCAGTAAGAGATTATGAAACTGAAAGCAGTGACTAAAGACAAGGACTGGAGTGCTCATCTTTAAAAAAAAAAAAGTACATAACTGTTCTCTAATAACATAAATTCTGTACATGAAGTTATCGTATCATTGAAGTATTTTGAAGGAAGGGTGACATCAGCAGTCATTTATTTGTTATTACCTATTTATTTTGGTCCTTTTATAGAAGTAAATCTTGCACTGGAAATGCTGTACCATTTTATTAGTTTCAAGCTATCACAGCAGTCAAGTTTTCAAAGGATTTTGTTGGTCGAGTTGATTTGAAATCAAGTTAGGCAGGCTGATTAGTTCTTCTTCATTTGAAGACCTTTATTCTATTTGATATAGAATCAGCAACTTCTAATCTGTATTTTAGGATGCATAACTCATTAGAAGTAATGCAAAAGATGAGGCTTTGCTGTAAATGCGTGCCTGTTGTATCTAATATGATTTTTGAGTCATGTTCTTCATTGTATTTATTTCCTTTCAATTGGTAACATGTATTTCCTTCTACATTGAGGCATGTCTTGAATTTTTATTTTCTTGACAGATCGTTTCATGTACAGAACTGATCGCTCTATGAATGGGCAATTGTATTTGTCAATTGGGACATAGAATGTTGCAAATCCTCATAGCAGGTCTTTATGAGTGCTGCTGATGTTAACTGAGGCAGGATTTAGAAGCAGAGTTAATAAGGTTACCTGAAGAGGAGTTAAATTATTTGGATGACTAAAAGATAGACTTTCCATAAAAATAGCCTACTTAGGTTCTTAAACTATTACAGACACAGTAACAGAGCTGCTATGACAGAATTAACACAGAGTTGTTTTCCACCAGAGCACAACACTTACACTCTCCGCTGTGCTTTAGTGCCTTTGTCACAACTACCACAACTACTATTCAAACTATCATTTTGCTTTCCATGCTACCTGTAACCAGCAAAGCACAGAAGAGAGTCCAGAAAAACACTATCCATTCAGCAAGGTGTATTGCATTTCTAAGCCAGTATTCCTCAGTGATTTTTAACTGTTGACATTGAGGAAGTGTTTGCTGGGTATAGGAAAACTTGTGATTTTAGAAAGGCTAAATTTTGTTGGATTGTCCTGGAGTTGCAAAAAACTCATCCTTCATGCAAAGATGATCATCGTTCTACCAAAGTTCAACCCTTTCTGAAAGCATGGTGCAACAGGAGCTTCTCTATAGAAGGTCACTAGATTTTTAATTTATTTTATTTTTTACAGAAGTAGGACGAAACTGTATTTTTTTTCCTTGCTCTGACTTTAGAGATAGAAGACTATTTTAGCAAATATTTTCCAAACTTTTTGGACATGTCAGCCTGGGACAGAAAGCTTGCAAGGAGAATTTCACTCCCAAGTAGCTGGTTTGTCAAAACTGTGAATTGTTCTATGTTTCCCATTAGACGGCTCCATATTCTGCTGTCTTAGTATTGAACAATGCTACTAGATCTGCTTGTACTATAACTTCCATTTTTATCCTTCTTCATTCTTTTTTCCCTAGTTCAGTAACGTGAGCTTTTGTGGCTTCGAAATGGTAAGAAACCTGGCAATACAGTCTGTTTTCAGTGTTCATGTTTACAAATCTCTTTACATCAGTGAATATTTATTTGAAAGTATTTCAACTGTTGGGGATAAAACAGCTCAAACGTTTATCATCTTAACGTGGAGACGTTTTAGGGTAAGCCAAGATAGAAAAATGCAACACTGGATTGAAACTGTGGAGTGTTTAGTGGCAGCTATTGAATTTGGCTGGGATGTTACCAGAGAATATTCTTGTCAGATGTGCAGGGGGGTGTTTTTAAAGAGTTTGGTCAAACAGAGTTTTGATTTTCTGTATAATCAAAATAGTTAGGTCTCCAGTGGGTGGTATCTCTGTGGTTGTTTGTTTATGTTCAGACATTTCTCTTTCTTGACTAGCAGAATAATCCATGTGTTATTTCCTTGGAGGTCTTTCACAGTATTGATCAGACTCAGTCTGGCTTATCCTGAGTTTAGTCAAATTTTAGATGGCATGGCTATATCCAAATACAATGAATCGTTCATTTTCCTTGCTTATTATTGAAAGTAAACTGTAGTGTTAGTTACAGGTTTATTTATATGTTAGAGGAGATACAACCACTTGACTTATTTTTGTCTTTTTATTTCTCATAGCATGATTATTTCAGTGCAAATATATGGTATAATACCCAGTGTCTAGCTAACAGAGAAACCTATGAAGGTAAAATATTCAGATTTTAAATTTACAAGAGAAAGAGAAAAAAATGATAGAAATTATAAAGCACTTTCTAAGGGGAACTGAGTTCAGCTAACCAACCTCAAATCTGTGAAGGAATTCATATTCCACTAAACTTGCATGGAATTTGGGGGCCAGTTTCCCTAGTTCACGTGAACACCTCATTCCTAATTGCCAAGTATCTCTTTAATTTTAGAGATCTTTAATATCTTTCATTTTGTTTTGCTTCTAATACTCCTCCGCAACTTGTTATATCTGGCAGAAGGAACAGAAACCTATGATTTCAACATATTGGTGCAGATTGTGGAAAGCCTGTATAGAAATAACCCTTAGCCTCCTTTACGCCTCTTAGCCCAGCTCTGTAAAGCAATACAGTATTGTGTTCTCATGGTTACCTGTAAGGCAGTTTGTTGTTAAGACCACCACCTAGTGCACAGAATGCAAAAAGCACTTACTGTTACAATCCATACTGCTAAGTGACTGTTGAGAAACTTTGCCTAATGAAATGAGGATTCTTTCTTGGCTAGTTCAGGTAACATTCATGTAAAACAAAGTTATTCAGGTCTTGAAAGAAATTTAGCCTGTGGACAGTTCAATACAGATTTAAAGTATTTTAAAAGATATATATGCATATATATATATACACATATATATGTGTGTGTGTGTGTGTGTGTGTGTGTGTGTATGTATATATATTTGTACACACATTTTACATAAGCAAGGGAAGAAATTTTCAAATACACCTGTATTTTCTGGTTCTTAATGTTGTTTTACATATTTATTTGAAATTTTGCTGTGCTAATTGGAAACAACATTTGAAAAATCCAGATCACAAGTTCTCTTAAAAAGTGTCATGAAGTCTACTGAGATATCCCATATCCAGAGGTTGGTGTGTATATATCCATGCAGTATAGAGTAAGCTGAAGGGAAGTATTCTTATGCCAGAATTATTCCTTGTGAATACACCACCACTTCTTGTCTCATAAAAGAGATGACTAGGAAAGGACTCAACTCATGACCAGTGCAGAAAAAGGTCTAGGGAATTTCTCACACTAGAAGAAGGAAGGTACACCAGACAATTAATAGGCAGAGATTTAAAACAAGTGAAGGGAAATACTCCAGACAAATTTAAGGAAAACAAATTCATAAATTGCTGTTGAACAGGATGATCTACATGCAGTCTCTGGTCTAGAGAAGTCCCTGAACCACAAACTTATAAAGACTATACAGAAGATTATTCTGTATATGTCCTAGTTCTTGTTGTTTTTCCCCATGCCCACATATTAGACTAGATGGAGCATTTCTCACTTTAAATGACTATTATCTTATGTACTGAAATGTACTTTTTGTATCTTTAAAATAATTTTATTATTTCACTACGCTGAAGAAAATACTGCACAGGCAATAATGTTCCTTATAAGCTGCGCAGAAATATGCCATTAGGCACATCTGTTTTGCAGTGCAGTGTCTGTATATTTAATATTTGTAAATATATAAAATCAAACAATTATATAAACTGGTATACACCATTTTGAAATTACTTAGCAAATAGTCTGCAATTTTTTAAAGAGATGGTAGGTTAATGAAGATTTCATTTATTCTAGAGGATGTTATTAGTGTCACATTCAACAAAGAAAAGTCATGGAGCCAGGTAAGAAAATGGAAGGTTTGCATTGGCTTCAACAGTATGCTGCATGGTACAAGTCTACCTGATAATTTAACACTTTTATGATTCCTATTTTGTTGCCATCTCTCTGCCTGAGCATTTTGAGCCTTAATATCACCGCTCCATAAATGTTGGCATATTTTTTCCCAGGATTAGAAATTTTAAATTGCTGTTTAAAATTGTTTTCCAGATTATTTATCTGATAACTTCTGGTTCATACTGTACCCTAATAATCTTATTATTAGATGGGTACTGGTAACCTCTGGCCTATTTAGAATCAACAAGGCTCCAGATAGTTGTAAGTGGCTATCTGCGTGGATTTAGATGGAGATCCAGACACCAAAATTTGAAATTCTCTATTAGAAAGAATTTGTTCTACCTATAGGAAAACTTGCTTAACTGATACCAGTAGAATGATTAAAGTTTGTCTTGGTTTCACAGAGATAATAGTTTCTATCCTAGTAAATTTCAGGACCTGAATAAATCTGAACATAAAAAGTATTACTGAAGAGTTTTATAGGAAGACATTCCACTCTGATACTTCTAAGCCTTTTATATCAATGACACTGAGCTAGTCTATGCTGAGGATCTGACTTTAGCAAACAGAATCAGAGAAAACTCAAACAAGCCCCTTCATAATGCCAAAATGCAGAATTTATTAACTGCATGTTTTCTTTCTCTCAGGTGTCAACCTGCTTTTATAGTTATGAACCCTTCCGTAAGTGGGAAAGTTGCCTTCCTGGAAGATTCTATGGCAGAAAGAGATCTTCCAAAAGAGCGATAGCATTTCTGATTGATTATGAGCAGAATACAGGAATCGGTATTTATAGGGTTCAGGTATGTTGTGGAATCAGTGAGTTTCTCTTGCTTTGCTTATCCATGTTATGTTTATAAATTAGATTAAATTGTTAGAATAACCCATCTGAACGAAGAAGGCTGAATGGTGTTGACCAGTAATTTAGGCAAGACACTTCAGCCCAGGAGATTTTGGTGCTGTTCTCAACTCCTTCACTATCTTCCTAGTCTGGCAAATTGCCTTGTTTCTCTGTGCATCAGTTTTCCTACTTGTAAACTGGGGCAATTTACAATACCTGAGGATTTATTCACTGTGTGAAATTCACTCTGAAGAGATTAAGAGGAGGTTTACAGAATGCAAATGCTTCCCTGGTTTGTGTTGTACCTCTGCCTGATAGAAAATTTCTCTTAAGAGTTTACACACCTTGAGAACCCTGCTTCAGATGCAATAAAATTGCAAAATAGGAATGACATATTTTTCTCTTTTACTTCAGTGCTAGTTCCTCCTTTTGGTCAACAGTATCAAAGAAACTTTTCATTTCGATGAGTGACCTTTGAGATTTAGCTGGAAATAAAAGCTACTTCTCCAGGCTTCCCACACGTTCAGCTACAGCTCCTTTGCTTTAGATACAGCTCCTTTCCCTTGCCTTAACAAACTTTTCATCCTCCAAATATGGGGGGGAAAAAAACCCTTCTTGTGTATTACAAGTGACTGTGGAGGGTTTGTATTTGACCACTTAAAGGAAATAGACATTTGAAGTCAAATTTATAATATTCACTGCTTGCTTTCTCCATTATTTGTGTACTACTTGCTCTCTGCTGACTTAAAATTCATTATCAGCTTAAGCATACTGTCTAGTCTTCCTTTTTTGGTAGTCTATATAGTAAGAGTATGAAGACTATGCAATTATCTTACTTGTCGATATTTACTGTGTTATTTCTCTCCAGAAAAAGTCAGTGGTTGCTGTTTTGAAGATAAGAAAACACAAGCTGACTAAGAAAACAAAATTTCCAGTGTTTGAATTTCCAAACACTCATTTTTTGCCATATGGAATGTTTTTCCACCCACAGACTCATTTTCTCTATGTTTATGGAAATGAGGTATGTATGCAAAGAAAGTAATATTGAAGTTCAGTGTAATTTAAAGTCTTACTTTGGGGGGAATTAAATGGTCCAAACCTGTTGTTAGGACTGTTTCTGCAAAGTTCTTACTGATTTCAGTGGAATCAAGCTCAAAATCATTAGGTTTTCATGCATTTTCCAATTACTGGACTTACTTTTGTTGCAGGGTTTGAGCTGTCTCTGTTATGAGACTTTATGAAATGACTTATTAGTTATTCAACATCTGTAGCATTGGCAGAAATGGGTCTTCAGTGAGGAAATTCTTCATTTTAGTTTTCTGGAGAATATAGAAGAAGCTACCCATAAACAACGTTTGGTTATGGGGAAATCCTGAATCAGCAGAAAGATGTTATTTATTGTAAACAAGATTCTGTGTTCTGGCAGTTTGGTCTGTTCCTAGTACTTTTATACTTACTGAATACATTAATAAAATAAATTGCATTTTTACACTTGTTGGAATAGACATGTATTGTTTTCAGAAAATATTAATTAAGTAATAAGCAATCTTTTTAGAGGCTCTGCCTCTGATTAAAAATAGATAGTAGCTCAGCAGTGACTATTATTTCTTTCATAGGTGTGGTTATCCAGTGATGGAGGCAATTCTTTTCAGTTATTAATCAGTCTGGAAAATGAAAAAATTATAAAAACAAAGACATGTGTGTATACTCATTCAGTTGCATTTGTGAGTGATAAGGGTAGCATTTTCTTCAGTAAGGCAGGTGAGGAACTTAAACCTACTTTTTCAGTGACATGAGGCATGACAACTACATGAAAAGGCTTCTTCATTAACCACTCTTCATGCACTCCTTATTAATGCTATTCATCAGTAAAAAGTTTGATAGGTTACAGAAAGCTTTTGAAACTCTACAGTCATATTAACACTTTATGTTAGTAAGTTCTGAGTGAGTTGCCAGGTTAAAGCAGAGACAAGATTTGTAGAAAGAGGTCATACTATATTAATTACTATATTAATTATATTAGTTACTGGAAGAAAGCCAATGTCACGCCAGTCTTCAAAAAGGGCAAGAAGGAGGAGCCAGGAAACTACAGGCCTGTCAGCCTCACCTCCATCCCTGGAAAGGTGATGGAACAGCTCCTCTTGAAGGTCATCACTAAGCATCTGGAGGACAAGAAGGTGATCAGGAGTAGTCAGCATGGATTCACCAAAGGGAAATCATGCTTGACCAATCTGATAGCCTTCTATGACGGAATGACTGGCTGGGTAGATGAGGGCAGAGCAGTGGATGTTGTCTCCCTGGACTTCAGCAAGGCTTTTGACACTGTCTCCCATCACATCCTCCTAGGTAAGCTCAGGAAGTGTGGGCTAGATGAGTGGACGGTGAGGTGGCTTGAGAACTGGCTGGATGGCCGAGCTCAGAGGGTTGTGGTGAATGGCGCAGAGTCAAGTTGGAGGCCTGTGGCTAGTGGTGTCCCCCAGGGGTCAGTCCTGGGTCCAGTCTTGTTCAATATATTCATCAATGACCTGGAGGAAGGGACAGAGTGCACCCTCAGCAAGTTTGCTGATGATACTAAACCAGGGGGAGAGGCTAACACACCAGAAGACTGTGCTGCCATTCAGAGGGACCTGGACAGGCTGGAGAGGTGGGCGGAGAGGAACCTCATGAAGTTCAACAAAGGCAAGTGCAAGGTCCTGCACCTAGGCAGGAATAATCCCATGCACCAGTACAGGCTGGGGACTGACCTGTTGGAAAGTAGCTCTGCCGAGAAGGACCTGGGAGTGCTGGTGGACAACAAGTTAAACATGAGCCAGCAGTGTGCCCTTGTGGCCAAGAAGGCCAATGGGATCCTAGGGTGCATTAGGCAGAGTGTTGCCAGCAGGTCGAGGGAGGTGATCCTGCCCCTCTCCTCAGCCCTGGGGAGGCCTCACCTGGAGTACTGTGTCCAGTTCTGGGCTCCCCAGTACAAGAGAGACATGGCACTCCTGGAGAGAGTCCAGCGGAGGGCTACCAAGAGGATTAGAGGGCTGGAGCACCTCTCCTAGGAAGAAAGACTGCAAGAGCTGGGCCTGTTCAGCCTGGAGAAGAGAAGATTGAGAGGGGATCTCATCAACGTGTACAAGTATCTGAAGGGGGAGTGTCAAGAGGATGAGGCCAGCCTCTTCTCCGTGGTGCCCAGCAACAGGACAAGAGGCAATGGGCAGAAACTGAACCACAGGAAGTTCCATCTGAACCTGAGAAAAAACTTCTTCACTGTGAGGGTGACAGAGCATTGGAACAGGTTGCCCAGAGAGGTGGTGGAGTCTCCTTCACTGGAGATATTCAAAAGCCGTCTGGATGTGATCCTGGGCAATATGCTCTAGGTGACCCTGCTTGAGCAGGGAGGTTGGACTAGATGATCTCCAGAGGTCCCTTCCAACCTAAACGATTCTGTGATTCTGTGATTCTGTAATTATATAGTTGGAGGAGTGAAGCTTGTAAGCACACAGTCCTTCTCCTAATGTGAAGAGTAGCAGGCTTCAGGCAGAGTATTATACTGATATCGACATACAAAGTCAAACAAGGAAAGTGTAGTATGTGATTGTGCTAAGCATGAGGAATCATGCTTTACTATACGCTGAGAGGCTATCAAAGGACACAGTGAGCTAGTCAGTCACATACCATATTTCCCTTATCGTTCTGCTTCAGGGTGCAGATGGCTATAATCGAGTAGCTGTTACATTGTACAAACTGAATCTTAATAGGCTGACTGTCATTTCTCCGTTTCCATTTGTCATGGTGTGCTATGTATAGCATACTAAGAGAAAAATGGTTTATATAGATGGTATCAGGAAAATATAGATGTAATTTAGCTATCTTTTAATTCAGCGCTTCACTTGACAATGAGAGCACCTGTAAGAAGATGACTTTTCACATGTCACTTTCTGTGACATAACAGTGATTCAGCAGTTTAAGAGCTGCTGGTTTTAGGTGAATTTTTTTGGTACTATACTTTGCCACCAAGGAGGAGAAAATGCGACGTTAGTTTTGTCTAGCGGAATCCAAATCCAGCTTGTTCATCGCTCCACTAATATGGAAAGAAACCTGTTAAGGAGGATGTGCATAGACAGATTTTACTGGAGGATGGATGTACTGATGTTTTATCCAGAAGTAAACCGTGTGTGAAAAATTATGAACATCAATAGGAATTTCACCATTTTTTTTCCACAGTTCAGGCTGAGCCCTAGGTTTTCTAATCCTATAACAAGCTGCATGTACATGAAGCCCCCTTTTCTTGTAGAACTTCCTGGACTATATTAGACATAAGTATCCACTCCAATGGATAATGCACATGATATCTTTTGAGGTATCTTAGGAGAAAAAATTCCATTCTGCTTACTTGTCAATTTGCTTTAAAGAGGTTTTTCCCCATTAATATGCTGTAGAAATGTTTCTTTAGAGATATATCAAAGCAAGAGATCTGATTGGAACTACTGAACCTTATAACTACCACTTTATTAGCTTAAGCAGCATGACTTTTCCTCATATGCATTATCTTCTTTTAACTTATTGCCTCTATTTCTCCTCTTTAGGTCTGGAAACATATGCCAAGTCTGTGACTTCAACAAGAAGTGTTTTCAGTTTATACTATGACCACTTGGGAGCTTTGAAGCTAATTACTTTTAATGAGTCAAATTCTGACAGGCTGGACGTAAGAAACCTAGATGTTTTAACATCGGTGGAGGTCAGCTCTCAAAATATTTAACTAACTGTTACAAAATATTCTTAAGGTCTGCAGTTTGTCTCTCACTGTGCACAAATGTGAAAAGATTGAGTTTGTGCAAGAAATAGAATCAAATATGTCCTACTGTATGGAGAATGCCAGGCTACAGCACATGTACATCTATATGTACATTTTAAATGTATAAACTGGACTATGCTGCTGCTGTTTAGCATTCAGGAGAATAGATAGCTATGAATCCTTTAGTGCCAGTCTCTACTCCACCACAAGGAGAGTGCACTGACCTCTATATTTAGAGCCACTCTACAGCTCCCTCCAAAGGGAGCATGCTTGATCAGGCTTTTCACTCCAGATGGTATTGCTAGGCTGCACTTGACTGGTGGAGAGGGCTTTGAGCTTGCCCCTCGCCCTTAGAGCACAGCTGGATCACCAGTGCTGCTGCATAGGCAGCCATTACTGTATGCGAAAAATGAGGATTACCTTTTCTGACATGTATTACTTTTCATTTATCCACACTGAATTTTACCAGGCCTGTTACGTTCAGTCCCACAAAACCATGATGTCCCTCTGTAATCTTCATAATCAGACCTTACTTGTACTACCCTTAGTATCCTTGGTGACATTCATCCCCTTTCCAATTCCATTTTGAATAAATCAAACACTAATATGCTGAACACAAAGACTGTGTGGAACTCCATCAGTAACCTCCCTCCCCTGCAAGAACTGACCATTTACCCTTTGTAAGAAGGACTTTTTCTCTGTGGGACTATCAATTTTTCAGTTGCTTATTTATCCCTGAAGGGGTCTTTCCTGTAATACCATGACTGCCTCTTTTCCCTAGAAGCATACTAATAAATAGGAAATACTGGGGAAGAGCTGGCACAGTTTGACTCAGTTTCAGGAGTTCTCTCACAAGGGAGATCCAGTTGTCACAGTCGACCTGGATTGCCAAAAGGCTTTCAGTAAGCATTATTAGTGGGATAACAAGTTTCCCATTATTACCATATTTGTTACCTTCACATCCTGCTTGATCACTCTCAGCTTGTCCCAGGTACTTATACTATACTGGTCTGGCAGTGAGTAACACAACCCTTCCACTGCGTTTTTCCTATTCAGTCGCCGGATTTCAGAGTTCCTGATGTTACTGGTTGACAGAAGTAGCTTGATAATTGGATTTGACTCTAAACTTTCCTTAACATATAGTGCCACTAACTGTGCTGGCACAGCTAGTTCCTCCTTGTATGTTTTGTTCCTAATTGTTACTGTTCTAATGAAAATGGCGTGATCAGAATATTTTCCCTCTAAACTAATGTAAGTAGTACCAATCATCATCCAATAATATAATCCTACTATCATTTATTACTCCTTTTTCATTATATTATAAATCAGTACCAAAATGGTCTAGAGGAATGCGTTGGTTGCTGTTTAGAGGTTTTTCACAACAATCACACAGTTCAGAAAATACAAGTTTTCCTTTGCTATAAAAAGGATATAATTGTGGTATTACAGATTCTACTATTCTGAGACCAAATAAAAATAACTTTAAAAACGATAGTTATTCTATGGACAAGATGTACATCACAAGGAAAATGAACAGCCTCTTTTATAAGAATTAATATTATTTTCATTTATTCCATTTCACCATAGTTTTTAGACTGGATTACGAGGCATCAAAATAAGCTTATATTCTATCATATCAGATAAAGTATAATTAAAAAGATGACCCCCTTCTTTTCTCTGATATTTTAGGAAGTAAACAAATTATTTGACCATGCATTGTCCCCGCAATATATCACAGAACAACAAATGATTTTTTTTGAGCATAATTCACCCAGCAGAAGGAAGAGGAGTATCAAGAGCTCAAGGATTCATTATCTGAATAAAGGTCAAGTTATAAAATATTGGTAAGATAATAATGATAATATATTAAGACTTAATAAGTCAGAGAATATTTAATTCTTTCACATGTTAACTAGCAAAGGGGCATTGGCAAAATACGTTATAGTTCATATTTTGAGGTTCTTGATATGCTATTTTAGACATTTAGAAACAAATGGCAAAATGTTTTACCAAATGTCAAGTTTCGTAATTTGGTTGCAGAAGTATGGGTGGCATTTTTTGGTTAATTATTACTTTTTCCATTCTTCAAAAATAGATCCACTCTTGTAGTTTTGGTTCAAGCAAAGCTTTGCTGAAATCCTGTGAATTCTCAGAGACTGTTAAAAAATTGTTATTTTTCAGGTAGTTAACAGCAAAGATTAGAAATATTACCTCTCTTGTCTTTTAGTTGGTTGCTGGAGTGACATAAGCAGCAAATAGTCCAGTTAAAATAACAGCCATTTGAGAGAGTCGCAGTTAATATTTATTGGAAGCCTGCTTAGTCCAGAATGTAAGAATACTGTATCTGATCCTTGAAATACAATGCTGTGGTTTTTATAAAACCTGGATTTATCGTGACATTCACACTTATTTTCTTCCTATGTGCTAATATTATGTATTGAATCAGCACTTTACTGGTGCAACACTCCTCAGTAGATCCTAGTAGGGACCAACAAGAGTGGACCAAGCTTTATTTTCAGCTGACCCGTTAGTGTTTGTAGTTATATCAGTATTTAAATTTTGTAAATGAAAGTAATGCTCATAAAAACATCATACTGATACAATGGATTGCAATTATAGTGCCAGAGGTATCCAGTCCACAATGCATATATTGGACTCTGAGCCAAGTAGTCCGATGTGACTTACATTCACACTACTCAGGGGTATTTGACGCTTTGTTCAATCTACAAAGGATTTGGAGTGTCCCCTGGCTTGGTATATATCCCACAGGCATTTGCCCCCGCTTATTGGCATGTCTCAGGTTGGTATATTGGGCATGACATCTGACCACACTCAGGATATGGCTTTTTTTTTTTTTTAAAAATTGTTGCTTAGAGTAATGAGAAGATGGCTTTGCTGCCTGCTAGATTATTGTTTATCAGCATGTTTGCCATGCCTGGCATGTGGCGTGAGGGCAAGTATAGACACATGTAGAGGCAAGATCTGCACAGCTGGGGCTGGAGGATCACGCAGGGCTAGCCTTGTAGTCTCATCCATACTGCTTATATGGAGCTTGTCCTGGAGCAAACTAGCTCACAGATCACATCCAGGTTTTATCTCAGAGGGAGCTAGTTGGTTTGATTCTGAAAGGATCTCAAGACCAAACAGTAGATATGTAAGGTAAGACAATCAAGGTACCAGCCCAGGAGTGAAAAGCATTAAGGTTAAGTAAGTTCTACATTCTGGTGGCTGTTTCTAGTGAAAGGTAGCGTTCTGTTACAAACCAATAACCTAGCGTACAAGCGCATTCTCATTTTACTTTGAATGCTTATCTGCATGTTACGTTTCCAACCTATAGACTGGAGACCAGACTGTCTCAGTCACTAGCGTTTACTGATATGCACCTGAACCCACTGTATCCTTGAGACTTCCAGCCTCCATCTAAAGGTTTAAAGGAAGCAGAATGGCCATCAAATCACTTGTTTTTTCACAGCTAGAGCTGCAGGACAGGGCAGAGCTGTAAGTATGCATCTCCTGCTCTTGTTTTCAGTTTGTCTTGTTGTAAATGATGGTAGGGAGAAGGGATTCACCTTAAATTGTTGTAGGATAACAGAGCTCAGTTAATTAGAGTTGTGGTGCAATCTTCATATTTGTTTACACAATACAAGGAGGTGTCCTTAAAGCCAGCTAAAAATATCTCCTGATTTCAGGTCTTGTCTTCCAAGTGGTGCTGTACTCCTCAGCAACAGGTTCCCAGAACATTTGTTCTTCTTCACAGAGGCAGAAAAGAGAGAAAATTGTTTCTATTCTTTTTCTAAAACAATTGAAAAGACTCAAGATGTCAGAAGTAATTTCCTGAATCTGTGGGGTCTTTCTCATACACCAGTAACGGAATACATCAAGCTCTGAACAGCCCTCCATTGAAAGTACTTGATAGTGCTTCTAACGTGGTGTATGGGGACATCTTATTCAGCCCCCAACTGTCTATTTGGCGCTCCATCTGAGATGACAGATCCTTGTATTACTCCACTAAGGACCACAAGAATGGATTTCTTGTTAAAGGAAGCTAACGTCTATGTTTGATTATTCTGGTGTCTCTAAAGAACTGTTCTTCAGAGCAGCAGTACCGATTGCTTCCTTATATTTGCATACACAGTCTGCAGTACGAAGTAAGCTTTCTGCACAGATGCCTAACATCTCTTCTTTGACTGCAACAAGTTCTGAAAGTGAGGGCACAATCTGTTCAGCACAACTTATGGGGTCTGCCTTTAGCTGGGTACCCATGCCATCAATATTGCAATTTCCAATACCAAAGGTTCACAGATTCCTGAATCCCCTGCATGACTCACATTCCCCAGAAATCTGGAATAGTTAGGAGATCCTTCCCTTGATGATCTCAAAAACTAATAGATGTCATATATCTCAAAAGTTTGAGTCAGTATTTTCCCTTTTGAGTATTGATACAACTCAGTCCAAGGTAAAACAGTTTTGTTATCAAACCTAAACATGTCTTTTCTTACTATTATCTTAACAGAAGTTTTCAGAAACAGCCAAAGAGAAACAAAATTTACATAGCATCAGTGAACATGGTAGATTATTAGTAGCAGCAATACCTTAGAAGAAGATTTCTTAGGTTACCACTGCTTCTAATACTTTATTGTACTCGCTGACACAATCAGTTTGACAGTCGCTGTAAGAGAGGTCCATCAATCCCAAAAGATATGTATCCTTAGACATCCCCGCCTAGGAAATGATTTGTACTGCTCCCAGAATCTGCAAATTCCAATCCACGGGCACTACAAGAATATTTTAATGTTACTGCTTTCCACTTCAGCTCCCGTTTCCACCTATCTGCATATCAACTTTCCTCATCCTTATTTACTACATATTTATTTCCTTTTTATGAGAGTTCATTGGATTCATAGACATGGTCTGTGAATTTTCAAGTGTATCCACTGTTAAGCTGATTTATTTTATCTTTTTCCCTAGCTGTTTCAGTTGTCAGCTGTACACCAAGTTTTTGTCTCTGTCTTTAAATTTAAATGATATAAGCAGGTAGGGGAAGTGTGGGTGTGAAGGGTGGGATTCAATCCCTTACTGCATTTAATAGTTATGTGTAAATCTGCAGACTAAAAGCTTTATAGTATCTCAACACCACTTCCCCACCATATGCTGTCTTTCGTAAAGTTTACATCTGCACCAAAACACAAGCTTTTTTTTTAATTCCTAAAGGATTGTTTTTTTTAAGAATTTGTGTCATGTTGTCTGTCCCAAACCACAACATTCTGAAGAAATGATTGCTCTGCACATTTTAGGTGTCATAATAAAGGAAAATTCTTACACTCTTCACTATCTTTACTGATCTATCTAAGCATCAGGGAATTTCAGCTCAAGTATGTGCCAGCTTATATGAAGGTGTGCTCCAAGACAGCTAATTTAGAACCCACAAGGCATATTACTATGCATTTTAGCAGAGAAAAAGCAACTTCTTCTACTTCTTATGAGTACTCCCATAGCACATAGGGTTTATAGAAACTCTGTGTGTGTGTGTGTGTATGAATGTGTATATATATGAAGCTTAGCTCCTCTGAAAACTGTAAGTAATTTTAGTTTCATATCTCAGTTTGAACCTGGTAAAGCTGTGTTTCAGTCACTGAATAACTTGGCTCAGAGCACCTTCTTCCAGTAAGTAATTCTATGTCAACAGCCACAGAGCACATATGGACACGGCTGCATGAACTCTTTACTCAAAGGTAGGTAAGTAATTGCTCTTTGTTTTTTTTTCCCAGCAGACAGGCAAAAGGCTATACAATCTAAGAATCCAGCCTATCCCATCAGTTAGTAGCATTATGAGGACTTTCTTTTAAATATCCTTTCATCTGTGCAGGTCACCTGACTTCCACATCTGATTTTTGCCAGTTTGCTTTGACTTTGGAGAACAATATTTCTTCAGAATTTGTAGAAAAAGCGCAAAAAGTATATGCTGTTTACCTGGAGAATTATCCAACACAATAAGGAAACTTATACTTCCTGTCATTGTAGGCCAGTTGGAGCAGCTCTGGTAGTCGGTGATTTCCCACTGAAATATTCTCCAAGTTATTTATCCTCTGTCATTGTAAACGTTCTGGAGAAGTTCCCCATTGAATCTGAAGGAAACAGTCCCTGCATAAAACATACGATAACTGTTATGAAGGGCTTAAATGACAATAACGTAACACTCCACCTTTCTAATCCTGGTGAGTTGCAGGTGTAGTTGGTCACGTGTCATTGATTCTTTACAGTAAAAGGGATCTTTGTATACATTCCCTCTTGTTTCAAGCCCTGAATTGCTGTCCTGTGTTGCAATACCACTGTTTTCTGTTCTAAATAGGCACACCACTTTTTGTGGGCAAAAAGCTCCGTTTGAAATACAAATGTCAGAGAACAGCCTAGCATAAAAGCTATTGCCTTTGACAGGTGTGAAGTACTGCTGGTGAAAGGTATTTTACCTTTGTGACAATTAGCAGCAGCTCACAGATCACAGATTCTCCACAGTTCTGAACTCAGCAGGAGTCAAAAGATCCTACATACAGTCCATGGAGGCAAAATTTTCTTCTTGGCGGCTGAACTACCAAAGCCCCTGCTGAGTCCAGAAGTCAGTGGGGGGTTGGTGGTCATTGCATGTGTGGAGGTAAAGGCCTGCCTTTCTTGAGCAGCAGTAATAGTTGGCTTACAGAAGCCCTTGCTGCATTCTGTTACAACAAACCCCAGCATACTATGAGTGGCTTGGTCTTATTGTGAGTAGCAAGGAATGTCAGGAGCTGTTGCTTCTCTGAGTAGAGCTCGTGGCTCTCATTCTTGCTGAGTTCATAACCTAAGGTTTTAACCTCATAACCTAAATATTTTCCACTTATTTCAAAGCACCGCATAACCTGTGGGTGTAGGTGTCTGTATATGTAATTAGGTTCTCATATATTCCTTTCATTTTAGTTGTGGTATGCTATGAACATAGTTTTACAATCATTTTATAAATCACTACAGTATATAAAGCTGTTATCATTTACCAGCTGATTGCTAGCACTCCAAAATTTCTTGTTGCCCCCTCACAACTGAGTCACTTTAAGAGCCTGTAGGAGCAAAATCCACTACAGTGCAAAGTCAGCTGCAGCTGCTGGCGTTCTAATCACCTTCTGCAGTGTTGCAGAGCGCTTTACACATGCTAGTGTGGTAAGTTGAGGAAGTGGAAGAATCATTGCTCCATCCATCTGCTTCACCTCTCTAGCTGAGCTGGCTGCAGTACAGGTCACTCAATGTGACCTGTACACAGGCTGTGATGAAAATATGGATGAAAATATGATGACTATATGATGACTTTAGATAAAGATAACCCAGAAGTCAAAACTGCATTATCTTTCTTTTTGATGTATGCTAAATTTATTATGCAACTAAGAGAATAACTTGGTGATTGGAGTCAGGTTCTTTGAATGCAGGAGGCATGAAGTGTTTTTTTGTGTGTGTGTTTGAAAAAGTCACTTTCAGCCACTGCTCAGGCCAAGAAGCTTTGTCTCTTTCATTCTTGCTAGTATTTATTCTACTGTTTCGTGGCTTCCTGCTCGTTTGTCTGTCATTTCCTGTGTTTTTCCCCTACTTGTTCCACTTTGCCCTCACTGAGACAACACTCCCTTTCAACCAGTCTCTGTGCTCCAGTTTTCCACATGATTTTGTTTGAGACGGTCACCCCTCAGATTTCATCTGTTTTATAAAGGAGCTCAGACTCTGCATGTCTCCTAATCAAAGGTAGTTGTTATACCCAACAGTGCTATAAGTCTAGTAGAACTCGTCTTCTTTCAACACACACGTCCTGATAAGGTTTAAAAGAACAGCATCATAAACAGCCTGTTCCAGCTAGGAAACAAATAACTAATTGAACCTCCTATGCAGTCTCAACTAAATATATGTATTTGCACAGAGATTTTTCTTTTCTTTTAGGTTATATTCACATCACCAGAGTAAAAAAAATGTATTTGGACTGAAATCTTCATGGAGATTTCTCTTTCCTGTTAATTTTTGTTCAGCTGCTAGAGAGAGCCTTCATTTAGTGAGCCACTTGGGAGTGACTAATATCCCCGAAGGCAGAGGCCTAAGCATGTCATTGGCACATAGTCTGTTTATGCTCTTGCACGACGTTGCTGGCCAGAGGCTCTGTGGCCGTAAGAGGTTCTCACTTTGAACATTCTTTAGACAACACAAATGCTTGCGTCACTTGACAAAGATTTTGTGATTCCTGAGGCCTAAACAGCAGCTTTAAAATAGTGACACAAATTCAAATCTTCCTTTCCCAGGCCTAGTACAGCAAGCTGACATCTATGTCACGTGCTTCTTTTCAATTTTTCTTACTATGTCCAAAAATGTGTCACTATATTGTTCTGAGGAAAGAATACTGCCTCCCAAAGTGCCTCTCTTTGCCTGATGAGTTTCTAAGTGCACCCAAAGATCATATCGTTATCTACCTTATAGGAAGCTCTAAGCTGATCTGAATTTTCTCAGTAGCTTATAAGACCTTTTCTCTGTTTGTTACTGGGAAACGGTGAGGTGACTACTTAAAAGGTCAGCTTCCCACCAAGAATGGTCTTATGCCAGATGACCATTTATGTCTTTGTTGACTGAATGTTAACCAGAAAATTTCTGCTTCCATTGCATTAATTTCTGATTTCTCGTATAGCTTTGCACTGGACAAATCCAAAATAAATTCCAGAAGCTTCTCTTCCTCCCTCCTCCCTTTCTTATCTGCACAGCAGTTACTAGATTTGTTAGTTAAGCTTAAGCAATTGCAGTCCCCCTTGCAGTCTCTGTTATTTATTGGAAATGTTCAGCACAGTAACGGGGATCTATTTGGCTTCTGAGCATCAAGAAAGTCTGAAGCTAAAAATCCCCAGAAATCTCGATCATAAAACTGGATTTAACTAATCCTTTTTTTAAATGTAAATCAAAAGATACTGCATCAGGTAGCCACCCTCAGGGTTTCTGCCCTGCCACAGGAGAACGTTTCCACTATAAAGCAGTTGATCTCCCTAATGCACCCGTGGCCTGAGTCTTCAAGATCCTCTTCCTGAGACTGTTTCATTACTATTTATAGCAAAATCCTGATGAAGCTGCTTCAGGACAACTGCTGCTCAGGTGCACAGTCTTATCCTGCGATAAATATGGGGTAATATGAGGACGCTTATCTCACACTGAAAGGAATATCAACTACATCGTATTGATCACAGAGCAGCTAGATTGCAGGAGGTCATACAGTAGATAATCATGCAGTAGCATACAGCACACACCTGCCTGTGTACTTCTGCCCATGGGCAGACAGACAGACAGACGCACCTTCACAGATGAACAGTCCATAAAAGTCCGTGCCTATGCATGCCCAACATGTGTGTTTTGGCAGTTTTATAGGTTCTGAGTGGAGGTTGCTATTGTTTCAGTTCTCTAGTACTAAAAAGACCTCAATCATTTCTTTAATAACTTAGGAAGGACAGCTGTTTTATGTCCACCAGTTTCAAAAGGACTTACCCCTATCCAAACAATATTTTAACAACTTTAAAAAAAATTCACTTCCTGAGTGTTGTAAATTATTACTGAGAAGATTAGTATTTATTGTCATGTTTTGAGAGTGTCCAGAGAATGGACACAAGAAAGCGGAAAAACACATGTAAAGTGAGGTAGGTTCTGAAGAAGTAAGAAAAGTAATTTGAAATGTGAACAAGGAGAAGGTGGTCAGCAAAAACCTTTTGAGACCTGAGCTGTTTGCGTACTTCCTGATTCTTTTAAGTGACCGGGAAGGGATACTACAACCAGCATCAACATCTTTGAAAAGCCATTGTGCTCTAAGCCTGCGCTGCTCTAAGCCTGAACTGTTATTTCTTTCGTGGAGTGTATGTCTCGAGTTCCTGAGCTTTAGCCTTGTCCAATTAAAAAAAAAACCTTTGGTTGAATTTTATACAGCACAATTTAAAAATTTATTTTAAAAAATCAAACTGGTTGAAGCTTCCAAGACAAAAAGCAGCTGTGTTATTCTTAAATTTTATTGTAAGTATGCATAAAGTGACTCTGCCTGGTTCCCTTAACAGCAAGTTCTGTGCTACACCGAAATTTATTCTTAGGGTAGCTGTCGAAATCAAAGTTGAAACCTAAAAATTCAGAGACACAGAAGTGGCTCCTGCTGCAGTGCACAAAGCAGAGTTTCAAGTTACTTTGCAAGGAATAATAGAGGCACAGGAAAGCAGTTTCTATGTCACTTCTTGCCTGTATATTGGTCAGAAAGGTACGCAGAGCTGAAAAAGCTGCAGTTAACCAGGACGCTTCTATGTTTATCCCATCTCCAGCTACAGTAATAGTATTGGATTGATGCTTTGGGGGAAACAGTAATAGTATTGGATTGATGCTTTGGGGGAAGGAGATTGCCACAAATGTTTTTAAATAAATTATGGTATAAATGTTATAAGCACATGACCTTATGCGTCGTGTTAAAATGAAGTGCTGATCTTGGCACAGATTGTACCTGTAAGAGTGAGATTGCTGTAACTAACATGAATTTCTCAATCAGTTGAGGAATTTTACTCAGAAAGTTTTGTTTATGAACGTTTGAACTGAAATTATGGGGTAGATTGTTCTGCTATGTGGTCTTTCAAATGGGAGGGGTAAGGAATTATTCAAAATGAAGGTCATCATTTAGCCACAGATCTACAATACTAAAAATTAACAAACTAAGTTAAACTCTGCTTTTGTTAGGTAAAAATGGATTTAGAGTCACTGATGTGGAAAAGACAGTGGTGATTCCAGGCAGCAGTAGCTTCCTAATCACAGGTGTTCTGAACAATCAGACTGCGACAGCAGAGCCCACTATGCCTAACAAGGTGCCTTTCAACAGAAGCTTTACATCCAAGCAATGGTTCATGCATGACTTTGGTACTGTAAATGGAAAAAAATGGGAACTGAAGTTAGACACGTGCAGATATTCAATACAAGAGTACAATCATATAGCAAAGAATATCATTAAATACTTGGATCTGGACACAATTTACAATTTCACATTCCGAGTAACCCCTCAATATACAGGTAAGAGACTTGGCATTTAGTCCTTTTTTAAGCATATAGGTTGTGTGCAATGCATGCAATGGTCGTTAGCTGGTTTGCGTGACTTTATGCAATGATCTCAGAAAAGGTAAACCTACAGTTTCTCTACTAAAATCTCTATCCTAATTCTCAAATACTATTTTGTGGAAAAATTACTTTGAATGCTTGTTTTCAGCCAGAAGTGAATTTTACCAGTTTCTGTCTCTCTCTTCTTTCCCACTCAGAAGTAAAACTGCTTTACTTTGGCTATTATGAAATTTTTTAAGTCTCTCTCAATTTGGTAGTGTCCGCACACACATTATCTTCATTCTTATAGCTTAGTCCTGAGTCAATTTAAAAGTTGAAACTAGCTATAAATATAGGGTCTATAGGTACATCTTTAACTTTGATTCAATGTCTCAAAGTTGATTTGGAAAGTGAGCACCTTTCCATTGATTTAAATGAGCTAAAGAAAAATGACTTTTGACAATTTTCAAATGAAAAACATGTACATTGATATAGTTGATGATGTTTAAAGTAAAGCTGAATGTTTTATTTTAAAAAGAATTTATTCATTTTCTCTTGTATATGAACATATGCCCTGCACTCCGAGACCCCATTTTTTAAATAGTTGACCCTTAATAGATCATTGAATGAATCAGAGTAATAAAATAGGAACAACGAGAATGTAAATAACGGTGATGACTGCTTAAATAGAATCTTAATATAACATTAAAAAAGTGAGTGGTTTGACCTGTAGGTATGTAAAATTCAGTAAGGGCAAAGAAAAACATTAACAGTAGTTCTAAAACAATAGTTTTAGAACTGCATATTTATTATTATAGTTCTGATGTTACACCCACTTGTATATGAAATGAAATGCATATGAAGTAATTTTAATTGTGTGAAAAATACTGTGGATTATGGTAACATTTTCCTTGTAAAGCAAATTATTTCTGTTGGTAAGAGTTTGCATGATGGAGCTGTTTAAGAGGAGATTATCATAATCATTAATATAAACATCTCTCATCCAGATTTGAGAAGGGTAATTCTGCAGTAACTGGTGTTGACTAGTTGAAGTTGGAGCTTACTACAATTCACTGAAAATGTAAGCATATGGTGGTGTCATTGGTGCTGTTCAAATCACTGAGAAAAACAGCCCCTATATAAGACTTGAACATTCCAAATTAGGAGGGCAAAACACTCCAGAGATGCTTTTTCTAAAGATTACGGCATTTACGAATGCAGGTCCATTTCAGAAACTGAAGACACTTGAAGACACTTGTGCTCCTAAATCCCCAAGGCACGCATGAAAACGCCAACTCTCACTTACAGAAAGGAGGCTAAGTCCTGACCTGTGCATTTGATATGACCTGAGCAACGCCCGCCTATCTGGGGAGGCAGGGAGCAATTCAAGGGATTGGCACTGCTCTTGACACAGCACTACTTTCTCCTAGGCTGAGCAAACACTCAGCTAGTATCAAAGAGTAATACCAAGATTTATAGCTGATTTTGCTGGGAGTAGGTGACCTCTTAAGATGCCTTGCTTTCCCATGGTTCCATAAAGAAACTTATGGAAAAAGCAGTGCGCCCTGAATGAATGCTAAAATCTTGATAGTCAAATTATTACTTTTGGTCCCAGTTAATAGTTTCAGTGCTACATGTCTGACCTTTCTGCCTGCTAAAGGATAAAAAACAATTCTGTTGCTGCCAGTGACACTTGTGTGCACTTCAAATGTAGTGATGATTTTGCTCTAATTGCTATGGCCTGGACTGTCCCCTCCTATTGCTACCAAGTGAGTCTGTCCTCTGCGTATAAACCCTCCATTCTGGGCTCTTGCTCACTGCACAATGAATGACTGGTTGAACTCCAGTCTCTGATCTTAAGACTATCATTGTCAGTCACTGGATTAATACATCAAAACCTGTTGCGGCCATCAGCCAGGAACTTAGGGCTCTCCCTTCCCCCTGCAGTGCTAACTGTCGGGTTAAACCATCATGCTCCCCCATGCATGCTCTGTTTCTGGCTTCATTAACCCTCTGTACATGGCTACACAACAGGCATTTCAACAATAGGAAAGATGCAGACAGCAACCTGCTCCCCAATGCTGTAAGCTAGTAGTTAGCTTGCTCTCTTGAGACAAGGATTTGGACTCTTACACTGTGGAGGATGTTGAACAAGGGGCTTGTACTTTATGGGTGAGTGCTCTAACCAGTAGACTATACCGCCAAAGGCCAGCACCCCTAGCAACAGCTGATTTCATAAAACTAGTGCAGCTACATATTTATTTTAGAACTGAGGATGGACACTGAAGATTTCTTTTAACTTCGCTCAACGCGCCAACTAGATGGAGATCCTTAGGAAATTTAGATGCCTCCTATATTAACTTAAGTGAGAGCTGGATTCTTTTTTGCATAGGCCAGAGCAGCCTGGTAATGCTCAAAAACAGTGTTGAAAGAACACAGAGACAGGAGGCAGTGGGCACAAACTGAAATACAGGAACTTCCATTTAGACATTAAAAAAAAGTTTTTTACTGTTGGGGGGGGTCAAACCCTGGTTGTGGAGTCTCCATCCTTGGAGGTACTCAAAACCAGACTGGACAAGATCCTGAGCAACATGCTCTAGTTGATTCTGCTGTGAGCATGGGAGTTGGACTAGACAGTCTCCAGAGGTCCCTTCCTACCTCAGCCATTCTGTGATTCTGTGAGCACTGGGAATCTGAAGGCCAAACAGAAAGGCAGACTCAGCCTTCAGACTTAGCCTTCATCTGAGCATGGTTTTATCAGTTCATGATTTTACAAAAAAGAACTATTTGGAGGACAAGAAGGCAGTTTATATTCTAAGCCTAAGTAGCAGCATGGAAAGTGTGCAAAGACTGAAGTGTCTCTAAGTTGCATTGCTAAGGGTAAGAATATTGCTAGGGCAGAAGCTGACAGTTGAGATCTATTATGTGGTTGTGTGGAGTACTGGAGATGGGAGGGAGCTGGCTTCCAAGAAAAAAATAAGTTCAAGGACTAGAGAGCTCAAAGCAGTGGAGGGGAGAGAGAAAATTTTAACATCAGCACTTAGTACAGGTTATAAAGCATGAGGTAAGTGTAGATGGAAAGGCTAAAGATAAAAACTTAACTTTCATTGTCTTCAGCTACAGTACCATAAAGGATAGGTTGGCCAGTCAGCCAAACTAGCAAAGAAACAGTTACTGGTGTTGTGGAGAGAAGACACACAGAGTTATGATGAAGAAAGTTTTTCTCTATTCCTTTCACATATCCACTGATCCTTTGAATGGATCTAGAGTTTGAATTTAACTTTTTTTTCTTAAGATTTTCTTTAATTATAGAGGATGGAGTACTGAATACATATCTTCAATTTTCTGCTTGATTTCACAGCCTATCCAATGTTTCAAATGCGACTAATAAACCTTGTCATTGGCAATCCATTGCTACTGGAAGTGACTACAAGAGAGTACTGGGATGAAATTGATAGCTACATACTGGAATTCTCTGTTTACAACAAATTTTACAAGCAAGTAAGGGAAGTCAAGTCATCCTTGCTTCCACAATGGAGCTTTATTTCATTCTGAATAGTTGTAGTAATGTGAGGGTTATCTTTAGACTGAGAGAATCTGAAAAGGTACAGATTATTTTATGTAGTGTGAAAAATAGTTGTGTAAAATTTTGTTGAAATTTCCTGCTCATCTTTTCTCAGTCCTTGGATAGATCAATCCATAATGAACATTTTTCAATAATATATTATGATATGATATGAAACTTCAAGTAACAGTATTCCTCTTTTTTGTTTTTGATTCATTCTTGTATTAATTCTTGCAGTTCTTTTATAATATCCTCTGAAGAGATTGTTTTCTTCTGAGCTTTCTTATTTCAGAGTCCTTTTGCTATTTGATTATATATAGTTGTGCGTTTAATTATAAATATTGCATATGAGATATAATAGGGATAGACTAAAGGAGGTCAGATTATAGGCATTGGGTGAGATTAGTCTTTGTGAGAATGTCTTCTGAAAGAGTGGGACTACCATGATTTGGAAAGGATATCTTAAATTGGTAATAGGAGACTTCAAGAACTGGGTAATACTCTGAGAACTATTTCACACTGATTTGCCATTAGAAAGGGTTATAGAACAAATCAATTAAAGAAATAGCAAATGACTGCCAGGACAGAGAATGTTCATCCAAGAATTTAAATTGGAAATTCCTCACTTGCTAACTGTGGTATCATTTAAATTAGTCAGAAGAGCAGAAGATGACAAACATGCCACCTGTTTTTAAAAAGGACGCCAAGGGTGATCTGAGGAATTGCAATGCCCGAAGTCTGACTTTTATGGGTGGGAAACTGACTGGAATTATTGTAAAATAGAATTAGTAGACATTTGGATAAAAGAAAAAAAGAAACAGCAATCAATGTAAACTTAAAGAAAGGAAATCATGTCTGGCATATGTAGCAATCAGAAGAGGTTGAGTTAGTGATTATAGTATATTTGGATTTTTAAAAAGCTTTGAGCAAGGTCCCTTTTTAAATGCTCTCAAAGAAACTAAGCTGCTATGAAATAGCATGGAAGGTCATCCATCGACTAACAATTAGCTGGGACCAGAACATCTAAATAAATGGTCTTTTTTTACAAATAATGAAGAAAATAGCCAGTGGGTACCACAGGATCTCTATACCTTCTGTACAAGCTATTCACAAATGACATTGAAAAGGAAGTGAATACTGAAGTGGGAAAGTTTGGAGAAGGTAAAAAATTATGCAGCGAAGTTGCAACTAACAACAGCAAAGAGTTGCAGAAAGATTTAATCAGTGCAGGGCAACAAGGTAGGTTTACCAGAGGTTTTACCTCTGGTAAAATTCATGGTTAACAAATGCATTTGGAAGAAAATTACAAAACAAGAAGCTCTGACTTAGGTGTTACTACTCATAAAGGGGATTTGGGGGTTATTTGGATAGGCAGCTCCATGCTCCATGGCAAGAAAAGCCAAACTGAATATTACAATTCTTTTCATATGAAATGAATAGAGAAAAAAATGGAAAACATCATGATGCTATTGTACAAATCCAGTATCTCAGATACATGCACTTCTGGTCATTCGTCTTGAAGACAGATGTCATAGCACTAGATAAGACATAAAGAAGGTGAACAGTAATGATGGGAAACAAGGAATGGGTTCCATACAAGTGAAACTGAATAGGACATTCCTGCTTGGAAAAGAGATGATTGAAGGCAGATATGGCAGATGTCTATAAAATCAGTTGGTATGAAGATGGCGATTCATTGTTTCTCAGAAATGCAAAAGCTATTTGGTAATTTGAAACAAACAAAAGGAAATACTTTTTTACATGGTGCCTAATTGAATTGCTGAACTCATTGCTGCAGGATGCTTCAGAAAACAAAAATTATAGACAGGTTTTAAAATTGATTAGACAAATATATGGGGGATATGTCCATTGTTTGCTATTGAATACAGTTGTGCAAATACTTTAACAACTGTCAGAAATAAGGATCACTCTGTATTATCCTGTTTGTTATACTCTTTCCTTGAACAGTCACAACTGGCCACTGCGCAGACTGCTGAAATAAGTGGCTCTTTAGTCGTGGCAGTTCCTATGGCCTTATGACAGACACTTTTTCTTTGAGTGTTCAGTGTCATGCTGAGGCAACATCAGTTGAGCAATATGAGAAGTTCAGTATAAAAATAACACCCTTTTCAAAGTATTCTTTCCATTTGTATCTACCATCCCTCTCTACTGTGACAGGCATTGCCAGTAGCTAAAAATACAAGCCCGTAAATAACATCAGTGCCAATTATGTGTCACAGTGATCTGCCTGTGCCATACTTGTCCACATCATTTCTTTTGATCAGTTTTACCAGCTCATAATTCACAACTGCTTTCCCCAAGTGCTCTGGTAAAAGTTTGGCATTGCCACATATACTGAAAACTAACAAAATTAGGCTTTGTTAGGTTAAAAAAAACTGTGAATTCTTCAAAACACCTCACTAAGTGTGTTCTGTCATGAGTCCCTTCCTAACTAAAAGAGGGATCACTTTAAATGATCTCCTGATCATTACTGTAGGAGCATAGTATAGGGATAAAGCCAACTTTGAAATGAGCAGTTCAAAGATATACTGATTAAAACCAGCCTCTTTATCTCCTTGCACTAGGTTAGCAGGCAGGAGGAGCAAACTTTGCGATGCTGGTATAGCTATCAGTACAAATAAGATATTTACTATATTCCTTTAAATGGTAATCTTTGTTTTGGGAGTGCTAATTTATTTTCACAATGTAAATATCTACAGGGTAAATCTTCAATAGCTGTGATTGTCCCAGAAGCATCATGTATTTGTGATACATCAGCATTTATTGTAACACTGAAGACTGGCTGCTTATATGGGAAATCAATTCATTACATTTCTCCAGTTCCAGTGACTGCTGAACTGTGGCTACAGAAAGCTCCAAGAGATGAAAATGGTTTTCTTCTCCTAAAGGAACTGCCGGTAAGAAAGCTAAGCAGCCATTAGATGTTATCAAAGAATTGGTATAGAAAAGGAAGGACTTGCTTTGTGCATTCATTTTTGCAGGAAAGACAAAAGCACATGTATAAAGTGAAGACGTGAATGTCAACAACAGCTTACCAATTTGTTTAGTGAGAATGCATTGTGTAGAAATAAATCAACGTGCAAAATCAGCCAGCAGATTTGAAAAAATGCACGAAATGATTCGTTTTTTTGAAATGTTCACTGAATTAAACTGCTGCTTTCCCTGTAACCCCATGAACCTCCAAGGCTTTTATTTTTTAGTAGAGTGTTTTGAAAAAGAAGAAATTTCTCTTGGGATCCTTAAGTTCTTCTGCTGTGAAAGATCTCAGCTGAAATAGCCAGAGGCAAGAGACTGCACAGTTCCCAACTATGATACCATTCACTATATTACTATTAGAAAAGCAGCATTATATTGTCATTCTATAAACATTTTCTGTTTAAATGGCTGAACATTTCATTTGCTACCAAGTTTTTTTTAATTATGTGAAGTACACAGTCTTGAGTTTAAACTATTATAAAACTGCATAATATGTGCTGTGTTTAAAATGGAAATGATTAACAGAACTTGTATCTCATATTAAACTTGTATTTTAGATTTGGTTGCCTAAATAAAATAACTTCTTTCTGTATTCGGATCGTGCAAAGGAATGTGGAATAAGTGTCTATACATGTTCCAATATGAACATTCAGACATATACTCTGTTCTTCTCTTTGATTTAAACTTAAGCCAAGCTTGTAAAAGTCTTTATTTGTGTAATAGATACACTAAAGGTCCTTAGGTTTCAGTCACAGTGGACTGAGAGCAGCTGATCTCCTTTGAACATAATTTCTGAGCAGCATCGGGTAGAGATGAGAGATCATCTGGAAGTCCTGAGTCTAAAGGACTCAGTCAAGAAATCATGGCCAAATATCGAATCACATAATGCATATGAGTAATAAGACATCTGTTAGCTCACTTGTCACTGCTGAGGTGAAAGTTTAAAATGAAAAAAATAATAATCTGTATTCTCTGAAAGAGTCCCTGGGGACTAAAATGTTAAATATAGATAAACGAATTGCTTTGTTTTGTATCCTTTGGTTTTCATACCATCCACATTTCTTCTGTTTTTTTATCCTGACATTAAAAGTAGCTTCTTATCATCCTTTCTACACAGTGAATGTGTATTTAATCTATGTCCCTCACTCTTGTGGTGCCTTTATATGCAGGTAAACTACAGACCGCCATCTGTACATGGAATAGCTATTCCACTCAGTGATAACTTTTATAATGCAGACCCCAGCAAACCAAGAATGAGGAACTATTTTAAGAGCTCAAAAGTAAGTCTTCTATAATCGTTTCCCTGCTGCTGAACATATCTTAAAGCTATGAATTCTTTTATCATCAAATATTTCACACACAGTAGTGTTTGTTTTTCTGTCACTTACTTTAAATAATCAGTGTTTCGAAAAACAAACTGTACAGACAGGACATTTCAGTGATGTGCTTGCTGTAGCCTATTTCCTCTCAAGGTAGACATTTGGTTACATACTACTGGAGCAGGCTCTGAAGGACGGGATGGTGTAAGCTTATGAACATTGTATTAACAGAGAGGATGGATAATGGGAAAGAACAGGAACTGAAATATAAAATCAGGTAACTTCAGTGTAAACTTCTAAGTCCTAGTCATTAATAAGGAAGGGACCTGTGCCAGAGTTTCCACTCTAAATCTATTCTCATCACCACTGCCAGAATTACTGATAAGATGTCATGAGTTAAAATAGAAAGGCAAGAGAGGATATCTTTCAACCTAGCACTTTCCCTCTGAAAACACTGTTGTTTGTTAAAATAGGTGGCACAGCGTGCTAGTCGTGATCATTCTGAAATTGTAAGACATATATGGAAAAAGACCTTTTTAATCAAGATTTTCGCGCTGGGACTTTTGAACCGATCATTGCTTTCTGTGTTGATAAACACAAGAAGTTAACATAGATATGACACTGTATCAAAAAGTGGTAGAAGTTTTGTGGTGCCCTTACAAAGGTACTAATGTTTTTGAAACCATACCTACCTCTCCATGTTCCTCGCTTCTGCCTACACTTTAAAAGGTTTTTGAATTTTAAAGATATCCTCTTTACAGACACTTCCTAGCAACAAAGCACAGGTCCACTTTCTGCTTGTCCCAGAAAAGGGAAAGGACAATTAGATGGCTTGTCACTATATTTTGAGTCTAAAGAAACAGAACCTTCAGCAATTAAGTAAACTGAGGCTGACCACAGGAAACCTTAGGTAGGCATCTGGGTAATTCAGGCAGGGCTGGCTTTCGGCCTAAGTGTGGCAAGTGGTTGCTTAGGCCAGAGACTCATGGGGGCAGCAAATCTGCCCCACACCTTAGGAACAAATCTGCCCTTAGGAACTGGCCCCACAGCTTATGCCTTGGCCTCAGTATGCATTTGCCTTTATTCCTGCTTCCATGCTTCCAGAAGGGAAAGGACATGTAGGTAGAGGTCCTCAGCAGTTAAAAGTGGAAAGTTGGCAATACAGGTTTGTATTTCCTCTTGCCTTCTGTTCTCCCTAAATTAAGATGGTCCCCTTAGTCTGAGCAAGAAAAGTTGCATCAGTGCTGGTCTTTTTGATTTCCAAAAATCAATGTCAAAACCAGGTCACTTTTTTTCCCTAATGGAACAATTTTCCACCTGAAAATGCTTTCTTGTCAAAACAAAGAACATTGTCAACAATTTGACAGAAAATTACTGAAATTTTAAAAGATCAACATTTTTGGATGTTGTGATATTAGTGGAAATGATACAGTACAGATGAAATCTTTAAATCTTGGCGAAGTTAAGGTTTGAAAGCTTGAACATTTTTTTCAGAATATCAGATTCCTTGAAGAATCCCAAGATTTCAATATTTTTCTTGATCAGAAAAGAAACTCAGTTCCAGGATCTTCAAATTTCCTGTAGGATAGAAATGCTAGATTTTGGCCTTTTCCAGTATCTGGCTTGTAGCAAATATCATATTTACATTTTGAACTCCCCTATGCCGTACATGGATAGTTGCACTGGTTTACTCGTATCTTCTTCTATAAAATCTTGTTTTTAGAATTCAGGCAAGAACTGAGCTAAAATCAGATTTCATGGCCTTTCCACAGGCTTCTGGATTCTACAAGAAGTGTGCTAACAAGTCATCTAGAGCTGAATGCAACTGTACCCTGGCTGAGAAAATGTCCTCACTTGCAGCTTTATCAGACTGTACAGAGAAGGTAAGAAATAAAATAGAAGTACAGAAATTATTTTCTTTAAGCTAAATTCTGGGACATGGCCAGATGCTCAACCAGTATTTGAGTAAGAATTACTCGGAGAAAAATATGCTACAGTTGGACTGTAAAGGAGACTTTCCAAATCACCATTACAAAGCTTGAAGGCTTAATGAATGTCTGAAAGAACCAGAGCAGTTTTTCCTTTGAATATAGCCATGTAACAATAAATGACTTACATTTCAGGTTCTAAGAATGAGGTATCCAGTTACAAAGCTTCCAATCCATTTCAACCTTAAGCATTCAAGTTCTATTAAAAATCTGTCATTTCCTTATTTTGTGACAATAACAGAAGTCAACCAAAGGACAAACTGGGAAGTCAAAGGTAAGGACAAATTTCAAATTGAAATTATAGAACAATTCTGACCCCACTGAGTCCATGGCAAAACTGAGGGATTTCGGTGAAACCAGGAATATAATCATGATCCTTAAATATCATTTAGATGTTCAGGGCAAGAATCCTGATTTCATATACATCTGCTTTGTGCTAGCTTCAAGGAGTCCTGATCTTTACTGGATGCTGCTATAATTTCAGTATAAAATAATTGCAATCTTAGAAAATATTATCCACCCTATCATACCACTATACTGACACTTAATGTTTCTAAAATAATTAATGTACTGAGTGAAATAAATGGAAAAAAAAAAACCCTATTATTCATTTAGAAGCATATATTTGAATAGAATACCTAGAAGCTGTTAGGAGTTGCCTGAAATGGTAGCCTGACAGAGGCCAGGTAGCAGCACCCCATATCCCCAGGTCTAGGCAGTAGCAAGGCTGAGCATGTATTCCCAATAGACACACGTGCGCACATACACACACATACACTATATATATAAATATTTTTGTATATATATTTATATATATGTACATGGCAGGCAGGTTGCACAGAGATACAGATGGAAAACAAATAGCACTTGGGCAAACATGAACAGCATGAATGGAATGATCTTGCTCCCTGCTTCTGGCTCTCTAGAGAAGGGAATATAGGTGGGAATCGAGTTGTGTAGGGCCTCATGAGTGTAGAGATTAGGCCTAGAACAGGGGCTTGGTAAAGCAGAGATTCCAAATAAATGATGGGTCCGAACAGAATGGCAGGTGAGGACATAACCTGAGTACAAGTCATTTGGCGATACTGAAAGGAATCAGGAAAAACGCAGATAAGTTAGAAAGAGGGAGCTTGCATGAGCGGAGGAGGGAAATGACCACGATTGGATCCATGGTTTCTAAGTCAGAAGGTCAGGCAAGGGATTTAGTGCTGCTACCAGTGATATATAAAAGGTAACAGGACAGCATAAATTATAATCCCAATGAGTTGGTATTATGAGAAGTGAGAGGCACAGAGGAAAGCAGGAAGAGATCAAGGCAGCAGCTTTACAGGCTGGAATTAGTCCTGTGTTCCTTTATCTCTGGTTGTCCTAGAATTCTCTCAGGCCTCTAAAGCACTCGGAGATCTTTAGGTGATCAGGGCTCTAGGGTAGCAGTGTCTCCACGTGCAGGGGGTCCCAACAAATGCCTGTTTGCAATAGGCAATTCTACTGGCCCCATACACATGCATTAATCTGAAAGGCTGTAGTAAGACATATTTGAAATACTAAAGAATGTCTTGAAATCAGTAAGCCTCAAATGTCTATTGAGGCTAATAAAAATCAGAAAACCCCCAAAGCCTAATCTGCAACAAATGGAAGTATGGAGAAAATCAGGCCCACAGATTTTCCATGTGCTGCTGCAAGAATGTAAAGAATGTGTCCAGCACCTCCTGCTGCTGTTTATACACTGCCAAATGAGAGGTGGGTTAGTTTGTTTATCCAGTTCACCCTCCAATCCTGGACTCCCTGCACCATGACCCCACACAGCTTTCTTGGCATCCTGAGCCAGTTTCTGACCTGCAGATATACCCATGGCTACTAAAAGGTCTCAGTCACTATGGGCAGCACCTACAATTGCCTACAAGGAATTTGGACTTGTTTTGTAGCAGGTCTCAAGTCTGTCCAGCACTGATGATGCTAGACCAGATTTTAGCTGAACCTCGTGAATGATGACTGAGGTATGGACCTCAGTCCATCTTGTGGACTTGACTTTACTTGTGGATCTTTACTTTATGTAAGATCTTGTGAAGCTTTACTTTATGTATTTGGACAATCTTTCACTATCAGCAGCTAGCTCTACTGCTGTCTTTCAGTGGGAATACAGCTCACCATACATCAGCTACAAAATACGCACCTTTATGGTTCTGAGCTCTCCAGTACAGACACCTCATTTTATTCTTTATGAAACAATATACTTTTTAATCTTGTGGGTGTAGAAGACAGTCATAGAAATGAAACCTCATAAAACTTTATTCTATGAGGATAAAAAATTATCCCCGTTAATCTTTCCTCCATAACACTCAAGAAACTCAAGTATAAGCAAGTTATCACCACTGTATCAGAGACAGGATTCCAAGCAATCCTAAACATGTCTGGCAGTGGTGAATGTGTTCTGTCACCTAATGGGAGAACGTGCTTAGTGCCTCATGGAAAGCTGTTAGAGCCAAAAGCTATATTGGGTGCATTTAATACATCTACGGAAAGGAAAACATTGGAAATATTTTTGAAATGATTTTTTTTATTTTACAGGTATCAATGAAACATCAGGCATATTAAAAATAAGATTCTATTTAACAAAAATGCTCCACACTACTGTGTATAATCCAGATTCTCTGCTCTTAAACTTATATGTAAGTTTTATCATTTCAAGTTAAAATAAATGTTATAAACAGAAATGGCTAGAAGCTACAGAACTGAACACCTTATACCTCTGAGGCAGTCTTGATATGAATTGAAACATCTTTTCTTTGTAAAACATATATCCAAGCACACATTTGTAATTTGGGGCTATTTCTACACAGGAAAAATTGGGGGTTATATTTTGTGAGCGTGCTTCATGTAATCTTTAAAAGTACTGATCCCAGAGATAATGAAGGTAATTTTTGTTGAATTTTTCATATATGAAACTTTTGAATAAGTGATTTCATACATCTTATTAACAATCTTGCCTTTTTTAACTAAGCAGTCTATTCTATACGCTGTCACATAGACGGTCTCCCTTAGGAATGTAACTGTGTGTGACTATATCTGGCATTTAGATTTTGGAAGGATAAATATACCTTATCTGAATAAATTGATCAATACTAGTTATTCTGAAACCCTTAAAAAGCCCCTCAGGAAACTCTTTTCGTAATGCACTGCCTTATGGGAATTGTAGTCTGGCCTTTTATTATCTGTTTTGAGCAGGGCCGGAGGGAGAACTGCATCTCCAGCAAGGTAATGCAGATCTGCTGCCCAAACTGGGAAAATGCACTTTTCTTTTGCTCTGACTCAAAAAGAAACCTTTCTTATCAATCCAGAAGAAACCAAATATGTAGAGAAAATAGTGATCTACCTTTTGGTTTTCTTGATAGCCTTTGTCAGACCTTTTGAGAGCAAAGAATGCAAAACATAGCCACTACTACACAAAATTGTTATTCAGCTGATGGACCCTATTTAAATCTTGCTTGATTGCTCTTTAGAGCGGCATAGTTATGTTCCTTCCTAGCTTTACTTTTGCTTGAATTTATCTTCAAAATTAGGCAGTTCTCATAGCACCAACTGAAAATGGTGTCAAAATGTTTCTGCTCAGCAAAGCCTACGTTTTGTTTAAACATGTGTTTTTCTGGAAACAAAAGGTCATCAATGATGATGATGATTTCTTTTAATAGGGATCAGAGCTTTTCCATTTCAAGGTATCAACTGTTCCTGGAATTTCCCACTGTAACCTATCTGATGAATTTCAGGTACCATAAATAGATTATAATTATAATGAGTGTCATTTAATAATAACAGCCATAGCGTTTCTTATGAAAAACTAATGAATTAGATCAAAAGCTTCACTTGCACAAGTCCATCTTGAACTCTCTTGTTGAACGGGATCCTGATCACATATTTGGCCATTTGCAGAATCAGTTTTTCTCAAATATTGCATTATAATTTTCTAAACATGATAGGCTGAATCCTTTCTGATCAAATTCAAACTCGATCTAGACTGAGCCTGCCAGTCATGCAGAGATCTGGATCCCCTGCAGCTCTGGCTTCATCCCAGTTATCAGCAGGGGCACTGCAGATTAACTTCCACTCAGCCTCCAGCCCTCTGCCTACCTGCAAAGAAGGCTAGCAAAAGGTACTGCTGGCCTGTGACCTTGCAGAGATTCACATGCCTAGGCTCTTCATCAGCACATATAATTCATTAAGATGCTGTTTATTGATAAAATAGAGCACAGAATATATAGTATTTTCTAGCCAGAAAGTGTTTTACAAAGGTTATTATCATGATCTTTCTTTTTCAATTGGAAAATGATAACACAAAGATCCAAACTGGCGTTTAGGGCTTCATGCTTCTACATTTTATAAAAACAATAGGGGTAGATATAGCCCTTAGCTCAAAATACCTGTAGTCAAGGAAAACACATAAGAGGCAGAATAAGGTTGAAATGTATATAATTCCAGATCAGCTTTTTATTTGCAAAGTATAGCTCCCATGTTACCATAACACAATTGATACCTACTACGTAAAAACATCTCTCTTGATATTCCATCACTGAAATTGCTTTCCTGTGGTGACCATCCACCTCCTAGCTTGCAATCGAGCCATTATTAAAGGAATGACAAAATTTCTGCTGAGCTCAGCGACTATATGCTTGCAAGAAAAAAAGATCATGCTCTTCTACTGCTGTGCTGAGAACAATTTATTTGTATTAGAAATAATAAATTGGAAGAATTAAAACTTTGTTATAGAATTTTCATAATAAAACTGAATAAAAAATAACAGATATTTTAAATGTTTTCTGTTTCAGATTTATGTTGATGATGTTCCACTGGCCTTTCCAGGACAATATCTTATTAGTGCTTTAACAGCTTTATTAATAGGGAGCATTATCTTTGTGGCATTTCTTGTACAACTGTATGATATAAACATATGGGATGAAGTCAAACATAAATTCGGACGATTCAACAAAGTATCACCATCACTAACTTCAAATACTGCAACTGCTACTTCTGCCTAGGTGGAGGAGCAGTGTTTTTGAATTTCGTACAGGAAGATATCCAAGAGGAAAAGATTTCTTTCACTGCATGTTTATTGATTCTGTTACAGATGTTTCATGTTATTTTAAAAGTAGCTTCTAATTTGATGATGATGTATTACTAATCTTCTGAGATTTATATTTTTATATATATAACTTCTCCATTAGAATTTGAGTTGTCATTTCCCAAGTGTTTTTGAAATCTCCAGAAAATGTATGTTCACAAGATCTTTTGTTGCGAAGATTTCAGAAAATATAAAGAGTTCTTTTCTCCCCTTATTATTCGTAGTCAATACTAAACGTAGTAAATAGTTAGAACCAATATAATGCTATTCTTATAGATTCTGTCTTGATTATTTTCTCAGACAACTTCCAACACCCATGAAAACTGTAAAGCCGCATAAATAAAGCCTTCGTGATAATTAATTTAGACAATTGTGAGTGAATATTTAATAACTGTTAAGTAATTTCTATAAAGTAGTAATGAGCTGCAGTGATGATTAATGAAATGGTGTGCACTTCTAATTGCACTGGCTACATCCGCTCTGGTTTTGGTAGCAATATCCATGTGTGCATTTAAATTCCAGTCCTATTGGCATGCCTCAATGATAGCCACATTCTGGATGCCTTAGGGCCCTCTGGCATGTATCACTGTGTTCACACTACACTTCAACGGTAGCTCACTGGGGCGTGAAAGCTGCCATACACCCTTTGTACCTCACCGATACAGACCTTGCTAGCACGCGCACCATTCCCAACCTTCTTCCTCCTGCACATCTGCTGATAATCCCCACATGCCACTAATGCTTTTGCTGTTTAGTCACAGAAGGTCTCTCACTAGGAGATCTGCTTTGAGGCCATCCATATTCTCTACAAGGGAGCCTGGTAGTAGACTAGTACGTTGTTAATCCTTAACATCAGGGAAATTGTAGCTAACCCAGATGGCAGGCTGCCTAATGCCTTTTCTCATGATTATGGATGGGCTATGGCCAGCGCCAGTGAACCCTGCATCATCTTGTTCCCTATCTATAAACCATGTGTGGGCAGAGGCCTGTGACCATATCAACAGCAAGAAATATCGCTTGCTTATTCTGCAACTTTTCAACAACCGCAGAAGCTGCTTCGTGGATACCATGACCAGGTACACTGAGTATATGAGGCATATACGTTTGAAAGTCCACTTTCCTTGAATGGAGATAGGCCACCTGAAGGATTGTATAGGCTTTATGGGAGAACTGGACAAGCTCTCAGAAGAGCAAGAACAATCTAGTACTTTTCAGAGTACCAGAGGGAAATACTGGTAGTAGCAGAGTATCTGCCTATGCTGTAATTGATACTACATATCCATAGCAGAATGAACCATGGGACTCTCCCATGTGAAGCACAGGCTACACAGGAGTTCAGTCAGGTGTTGAAACCTTTCTGGTGACTGTGAGATGGCACATCCTAATGGCTAGGCTCGACTTCAGCATCCATGTCACCTCGCAGCAGAGCTTTCTGTAACTTCTTTCAATGATGTACGAAGAAAGACCTACTTTTGTTTGTTTTGACCATGCCACCACTAGCTGGACCTCTTGCTCCTCAGTTCTTATATTACAAAAGAGAGTAAACAACTAAATCTTGATGACCTGCTTCATGCAATTCAAAATGTTATAGATGTTTACCACATCCTGTCTCAATCATCCCTACTCCAGGCAGAAGAATCCCAGCTCACTTGGTCATCCATTGTATGGAAGTCATTCCCTGGCTTTTAATCAACCTAATTGCCTTTTTCTGAATCTCTTCCGGTTTTACTCTGTTCTTCATCTTCTTGAACTGAAGAAACACTGCTTCTCAGTGCAGTGGAATATGACCTGTGCCATCTCGGTGACTACAGTTTTAAGTCGCTCTTAGGAAATGTTTCTTTTTTTCAGAACTGTGATTCTGGGCAGGCTTCCTGCAAATATTCACCAATATCTGAGTTTTATCTTGTGTAAATAACCTCTGAGTACCCTTAGTGGTGGCAGAATGTGAGGCAAGAGGGTTGTCTCGTAGATAGAGATGGCTTTCCATAAAGTAGAGCATTGGGTGAAGGGTTGGAATGAGGGACCTGAAGAAAGCCAGGATGTGTCTAGAGGGCTATAAGCAAGCATAGAGGAATCAGATCTGGCATCCACGACAAGTAGGGGACAGTCAAGAGAGTGCTAGCCTCTCGCCAGTGCTTGATTTTCCTTAGAAGAGTAGCCATTGGCATGAGCAGTAATGGAGCCAGCTTACAGACAGTATGGAAAATCAGGGTGCCAGGGTGGGAACGAATAGTCAGGAGAATTTCAGTGTGACTATTTAGGCATGCCCATTCTAAAATGGTTGGGAATGGTATTTCTAGGTACAAAGTGATGACAGGAGAAAAAGCTCTTGATTTTGCATTTTGTCTGCTTTAGCTTCACTTTTGGCTAGAGAAGAGATGTGATATGAAGACAGTAGGCATTGCCCTCCCTAAATGCCTAGCCTATGCTATTGCAGAGCTTACCCATAGAGGCAGATATTAGAGAGCCTGGATGTCAAGTTCTCACCTCTGCTTGGGACTATATAAGATATAGTCCCAAAATGTAAGATACTAGAGCAGACTTAGATAATCAGTAATCTCTTGAGTAGTTGGATGTGCCTGCTATTCACATTACCTAGTCACAACTTGTACTACAATTGTTCCTGCTCTGTGCAAGTCTTGAATTACTTGCATTTTTAAGGCCACCATTGTCACGAACACTGAAGTGACTCATAACTTTTAAAACAGAAAAAAACAAGCCCACATTTGAGTTGCTGTCAGTGCAATGGCTGATTCTAAAATGCTTCCTTCAGAAAGCTCATCTAAATTTCTTGTTCTTTTTTTTCTAGAACATTTTTTAAGGTTTCTGGTATTTTGTTACTTTTGCTTACAAAAGTATTGTTAGGTTCACCAGCTTTCATCCAGGAACTTGAGCATTTTTACTTTAAACTTTGGACTCTTCAGGACTCAGAAATTCCTACAAATTCCTACAAATTTTCTCAGATCCAGTACAGTCTCAATTGACTGCTCTAATTGGTATCAACCTGCTAATAGTTTGGGTATATTGATGGGGGGGGGGATTATCTGCATCTATGTGCCTCTGTCTTGACAGTGTCCCTTCTCCTCCCCTTTTGATCTTTCCTCCTTTTGGCTCCAAATCCACCTGTACATTTCATATTAACACAAAATGGAAACAGCTTTTACAGTTCCCAGTCTCATCCCAGGAGGAGCAAGAGGCAATAAGGAAGTTATTATAAATAAGAGACTATGGCATCAGTTACTGATTTTTGGTTTTTAGGTGATTAGGTAGCTACATAATAGGAAATGGGTGATAGCTTTTTCCCTGCTTGATATCTGGTAGACTTTCAAAGCTGTGAGAAAGATTATGATCTGAGTCTTATACTTCCTGCCTCTCTGTCCTCCACTTTCTCAAGGACCACCAACTGCACGGGTCTGAGAGAAGCCTGTTGCAGTCTCAGTTACAGATTAAGTACTGGACATCTTGTACAAGAGGAAAAAAAGGATACATGGGAGCAAAAGTTAGCGATAGGTAGTCTGTCATAAGAAAAGGAATAATGTATGCAATGATATCTTACCAATCAATTTTAGAAACATAGCAGACAAGCACAATAATAAACGTAACAAATACCAATATGCATTGCATAGGGACAGCTAGCATAATTCAGACCTCTAAGAGTTCCTTTCTCAGAAAAAAAAAGGGAATTTTTGGTACTGAATGAATAAATGACCCAGACATGCCCTCTACATTCAACAGCTTCAGCAGTGTATTGAAATTCTTCACTCTTGGATGATGATGATGAGGCCTACAAATTTAGATAAAATGAGGCATTTTCAGAGAAGCATGCAGGAATCCAAAACAAATACAGCCTTTGCATGACTATGCAGTTGCGCAGATTTCTCAATAGGAAGACTCTCAATAGGGGTTTTCCAGCACTGTGAGAATAAGATAACAGTATGGGTTGAAAGAAAATAGATGACCTTTCTGTTGAAGGGATTCATACGCACACTACGTAGGAGGAAGAGTCACAGAACTTTAACTGCTGACACAAGTTCAGGTTTGTGGTTCAGGTATAAAAACAGGGCTACTGTTTCTAGGGGGATCTGTGGCAGGATGTGAAAACTGAGCAACAGCATCTGAGACATGATTCATAGGGTATGTGTGCAAAAGTGTGCATACAGCAGGAATTTGAGATGCTGAAGTGAGCCAACCCTCGATCTGCAAAATATACAGTCATTAAGGGGAATCCTTTCTGCCCCATTTCAGTTTCTCAAAATCTTTAAACAATGACACCAGAGTTATAAAACATTGCATTAAAGCTATAGTCCTGATGTTGAATTCTTCCACAGCTTGCTGGCTTACAATGCACCCAAAAGGTATTAGCCCTTTTAGACTCATGTAAGAAGTTAGTATTGAATTGCTTGTTCGCTAAGCAGCCCAGCCTCTTCCAGAGGTGCTTTAACTTTTATAGGTGTTGTCTTGTATTGTGCTATATCTGAATGGTCCCACTCAAGAGGTCTAAGCTAGAGCACGACCAGGACATCCCCAGCTGCCCACCCTGCCTTCTTCTCTGGATGTCAGAGCTGCTTATCCATCAGCTCCTCAATCAACCCAGTTTACAGCTCAAAGTTTAAGGAAAAGCGTCACTGTTTGCCTTAAAAACGCTGTCACAATTTGGGAGGTGCTTCGTGAGCTCACAGACATTTGTACAGCCAGAATAGGCCAGAAGCAGCTGCCAGTAACCTTCGCAGCTGTCCCAGGCTAAGCCATCCCTTCTCGTCAGTCAGGGCTTTCAGTAAGTGAACCAAGCTGTTCCAGACCACTCTGTCCTCAGCAATATTTATAACTCTTCCAGTCTCTCTCTGCCATACACAATTTTCATTCAGAGATTTTATATTAACTTTCTAATTATTACTACAAATCCTAAACAGCATCAGT